AATAAGAAACTCCCAAGAACATTGACTTATAAAATGTCGGTGTCTCTGTCATGTGGAAGATGTTTGAAGACAGGCAGCTTGAGGTGGCAAAGATGCTGCAGCCATCAGGATTCAAGGCTTCTTGGATGTATTTGTCATCCCAGTATTCACAGTCCAGGAGGTTCTGGCTGCTAAGTCTGTCTGCATTTCAGGCAGCAGGAGGATGAAAGGAAGAAATGTGCAACTTCTTCATTTGTATGAAGACTTCTTGCAAGTACAACATAACATTCTGTTACATTTTATGGGCTAGAATGAAGCTGCAGGAGAGACTGGGAAAACTTTTCTTTGTCTGGCCACACCCAATCTCAGGGTATGCTCCTGGCTCTGCTTTCAGAGATCACTCCTGGCAGTGCTTGGGGGACCGTAAATGGTGCCAGAGATCCAACCAAGATCAGTCATGTGCAAGGCAAGTGCCCTTCCCATGGTATTATTGCTCCAGCCTGAGGCTGGGAAATTTAAGGAGGAAAAAGAAATGGGTATTGGAAGGGGCAACTAATAGTTTTGCAACCTGTTCTATTTACTCTTAGAAGATGAACTCCAGGACTCTCTAGAGAACTAACTGGGCTAAAAAGAGACTTAAGGGCTTCAGAAATAGCTAAAGGTCTGAGAGATTGCTTTGCATGAGGGAGCTCTGGGTTCCATCCCTGGCACTGTATACCCTGCCCCCCAAGTACTGCTGGGAGCTACCCCAGAACACAGAGCCAGGAGTAGCACCTGAATATTGCTGCATGTGCTCCAAAACCAAGACAGAGAGAGAGAGAGAGAGAGGAGAGAGTGAGTGAGTGAGAGAGAGGCTTGGATTTTAGTTATTATTTTATTATTTATTAAGGAAGTCAGTTCAATACATTTTAACTAAACCCCTTCTGTGTTCCAAACACTGATGTAGATGCTGAAGGACCATTGGATTAAGTACAGGTCTGTCTGTGTCACTTAGTGCTGCTCGAGCCTTAACCTTAGTGATATCAGCATCCAGTATCAGAGCAGGTATCAGCATCCGGTTCTGGCAAGGATCTTCTGGGGGACAGACTGTGTGTGTCTTCTTGTTGGTGCTTTGTATGGCAGAGAGACCAAGAAAATACTCCAGGACCACTTGTTTGAGGTCTCTGATAACATTTAGGACACCTCCATCTTCATCACCTTATGATTTCCCAAAGGTCCCACCTCTTACATTGTGGGTTAGAATTCCAACATACTAAAATTTTTTTTGGTGGGGGGATGTTATGCACGTTCAGTCCATTGTAGGCCTGAGCATTGTCGTCCTGCTCCATATTTTTTTCATGCTGCATTTCGGAACAAGCATTGTGGCCATGAGCTTTGTAAGTATCGCCCATTATTGCTTTATCTACCACAGGTTTCTTCTCAAGACCCAGGTGCAGCAAATAAAGTGTAAATTAAGGTGCCAGAGGGCAGTGAGCTGGCTAAATAGCAGCTAAATATTTTGGTATAATCCCCGAATTTCTCATTATGTCAGTTTTTTTAATTAAAAACCACAATTGAATATATGTCTTGGACACATTTTTTTTTTTCGTTAGCAGGTCAAGTTGGTTTTCTTAATAACTGCTGTGTTTCATTGTAGGATGTTAATTTATATAGTCAATACGTAAGTCGTGTACATGATATAGGTTTATTTTAATAGTCCTGATTCTTTCATTCCTGACTCCTAAAACCAAAATCCTGATTCCTACAGTTCTGTGTGCTGCCAGGCCATTTTCAAAAAGACTGAAATTAACCATTTGCCTACCACTCAGCAATGCAAAACTCTGTTTAATTTTGGCCAATATGAAAGCTTAAACTATATTTAATTGTCTCATTTTTGTTGGACTTCTGCATTAAATATATATAATTGGTAACATGTATTTTCTTCTGTGAATTGCCTGATATATTTTGTCCTCTTTTCTTTTTTTGTGGCTGTTTTCTATTTCTTGATTTGTTACCACGCTGTATATTAAGGAGAAGAGCATTTTTACTATTTAGTTACTTTTTTTTTAGTTTGTCTTTTGTTAAACTTTATTATGTTTTATTATTTATCCTATAAATTTTTCAGGTGTGCCTTACAAATCAGTAACAAAGGTGAAGTGGTTTCCCTGGTGATATTGGGGCATGGATTCTTAAGTTGGGTGGGTGGGGTCATCTATGAGTGCATTTGACTATAAATTAACAACTTTACTTTCATCTCTGGGCTGGAGCGATAGCACAGCGGGTAGGGCGTTTGCCTTACAAGCGGCCAACATGGCCGACCCGAGTTCGATTCCTCCGCCCCTCTCGGACAGCCTGGCAAGCTCCGTAGAGTATCTCGCCTGCACGGCAAAGCCTGGCAAGCTACCCGTGCCATATTCGATATGCCAAACATAGTAACAACAAGTCTCACGATGGAGACGTTATTGGGCCCGCTCGAGCAAATCGATGAACAATGGGAGGACAGTGACAGTGACTTTTATATCTAACTCTATATTAGTTTCTTCAGCTGTGAAAGTAGCCACAAACCACAGTAGTGTTAATAAGATATTGACTTATTTACCATAAATCACCAAAGGTATTTCCAAAGCACATTAAGATTATTGCAGATATGTCAAAGCAGTGTTCCGCATTTACTATTTTTAGATTGAATGTTAGATATTGAGCCCGGCAAGCTACCGAGAGTATTCGATATGCCAGACACAGTAACAACAAAGTCTCCAATGGAGACGTTACTGGGCCCGCTCGAGCAAATCGACGATCAACGGGAGGGCCTTTACCTTTACCTTTACCAAATAAAAAGTTACTATATTCTGATTTTTTAATTGATGGGGCTGGGGGCAGATGGGGGTTGGTTCTGTGCTGAGGAATCACTCCTGTCAGGACTCAGGGGACCATATTGGGGGCCAGGGATCAAACCTGGGTTAGACACATGCCATACAATTGCCTTACCCGCTGTACTAATTCTCTGCCCACCCCAATATCATGGTTTAAAATTATGTTTTTTGGTGGCTCCCAAAAAGAGCTGAAGATACTTAAGGCCACTCCTGGCAATTTTTGGCCTGATTCTGTGGGCCTGACAGTTCAGTGGTTGAGCCAGTCAGATGCAGCGCTGTGTGAGCCAGAGGTACTCACGGGAGACTGGAGCCATACATGATGGCATTTGGGGCACCAGATGGTGCCAAGGATAAACTTGGGTCCTGGTGCCAGCCAGGCATGTGCTTCTGCCTGGCGGGTACAAGATATCTGCCTGGGGCCCTAGATCACAAAATTTTATTTTTTAAATAGAACATTAAAACCACTTAATACAATATTAAAGAATGCCTATTCTCATTTTCATATGTGTTCAACTTTGGAATCTAAAGTATATTATATTAAATTTTATTTTATACTTGGGTCTTATTATGGTGATTGTTATGTCTCACCTGTCATGAGTAACACTTTTATTTTTTTAATTTTATTTTTTTTTTATTATGTAGGAGTACTGGAGTAACACTTTTTTTTCATTACACTATTCTCTTTATTTTTCTATATTTTTGAAAATTTCCACAACAAGATAAGCTTTGAAAAGTGAGTCTTACTGAGTACGGCATCATAAAACATTAAATTTTTCATTTTTTAATGAAAACTTCCAGGAAGAAAATAGAATTTTCTGATGGATCATGAACTAGTGCATTAATTAGATCTATTAAATTATTTAGAAACTGACAAATCACTCTAAAAATATTATACAAATCACTAAATGCCATTGTTATCAATAAAAGCACTGAAAATTGTAATTCTGAGCCAAAAGTAGAAAACCGATACATTAAACTTCAATTCCAGGTAACTGTGAGCTTTGAGTCAGTCACATCTCAGTCTGTACCTAGCACTGATACTTTCTCTACTAGATAAAAGCATGCTGGCAAATCCTTTAACTTCTGTGTACGGACCCTGCAGGAAACAGAGTAGCAACATCTCAGAACTTAATGGGCAGGCTGGGAGCAGAGCACAGACGTCATCTGTGTGCCATGGATGTGTCAGGCCCTGGGCTCAAACCGCAGAGCCAAAATGTTCTTGTTTTTGGGGTTGGAGCAATAGCACAGCGGGTAGGGCGTCTGCCTTGCACGCGGCTGACCCGGGTTCGATTCCCAGCATCCCATATGGTCCCCTGAGCACCGCCAGGGATAATTCCTGAGTGCAGAGCCAGGAGTAACCCCTGCGCATCGCCAGGTGTGACCCAAAAAGCAAAAAAACAAAAAACAAAAAAAACAAAAAACACCAAAACACACCAAAATGTTCTTTTTTTTATGGGTCACACACCCAGTGGTGCTCAGAGCTTACTTCTGGCTCTGCACTCAGGGATCACTCCTGGCAGGGCTCAGGGGACCATACGGGGTGCCGAGGATTAACCTGGGTCGGCTGCGTGCAAGGCAAGCGCCCTCCCTGCTGCACCACCTCTCCAGGCCTCCAAATAAAATGTCTTAATCAGTAAGGCACTTAGCACAGGGCATGACACATAGTAACTACTCAGTAAATAATTCAGGTCATTCCACAATCTTATCTCTTTCAACTCTTCACATCTTTAACACTGGGCCATGTTTCCTAATGGCTAGGTACCCAGGTTGGACGGGCAAGTTTCCCCTGTTGTGGTACTTGCCACAATGATCTTACTACAGATAAGAATCTATGGCTCTGTGGTACATTATCAATCACGGTGAAGCTATATTTCTAATTTAAGACTACTCTAAATAATCTTTCATTTTTAAATTTTTTATAAAAATCTGAGCAGAGTATTTCCTACACATCACAAACAGAACAGTTTTGAGACCAATTGATTTTTGTAAAAAATGGTTTATCAATTCCATTTTTGTATAAAATACGTGAGAGAAACCTTGCCAATCAGAACGTCACTCTTGCCACATGAAGATACTTTCATTCAGCTTAGAGTCTAAGATTTCTCTGTCCTGTCTACAGTAACCGTCTATGCTTCCCACTGATATGCTCTCAATCCCCCCACGGCCCCATCATCTTCCGTTCCAGCAAGAGCATGATGCCAGGATGGAGAGTCGCGGAAACAGCCTAGCGGTCTTCTGCTGCCCCTTCTTCCTGATCAGAGACTTGTGGATGTGAGGAACCATACCACCACCGGCTATGGTAGCCTTGATGAGAGAATCCAGCTCCTCATCACCATGGATGGCGAGCTGCCAGCGGCGCAGAGTGAGCCGCTGTACTTTGAGGTCCTTGGAAGTGTTTCCTGCCCACTCGAGTACCTGGGCAGTGAGGTTCTCCAGGATGGCTGTGCTGTGCACCGTGGCTGTGGCGCCGACTCTTCCATAGCTTGTGGTGTATGTTTTCAAGTGTCTGTGGATGTGGCCCACAGGAAACTGCAGCCCGGCCCTCTGGGAGCGAGGCACTGCCTTCGCCTTGGCCTTCCCACTGTCCTTTCCAGCTTTGCCTCCAGCCATGGTTGTGGCTGCTCCCGCCACAGCTCCTCTGGAGTAACACTTTTAAAGCAATGCTGTGTTAATATATTTTGGAGTTTACGTGGAATAAGTAAGGCCTGCCCATGTCAGTTCCCCCTTTACATTTTATATAACCACTGTGGTTTACAAAGTTGTTCATGATGATTTGTTACAGACATTCAATATTCCAACACCAATCCCACCACCATTACACCTTCCTTCCCTCATTGTCTCCAATTTTCCCAGATTTCCCCCTTAAGCCTTCCCCCATAACAGACCCTCAATATTTTATTATACATTGCCTTCCATTTAGGGCATTTAGGGCTCTCCTCCTCCTCCTCTTCCTTCTTCTCATCCTTCTCCTCTTCTCCTTCTCCCCCTTATTCTCCTGCTTCTCCTCCTCTTCCTTATCTTCCTTCTTCTCTTTTTTCTTCTCCTTTTCCTCTTCCTTCTCTTTTTCCTCCTCCTTATTCTCTTTCTCCTCCTCTATTTTTCCTTCCTCCTCCTCCTCCTCCTCCTCCTCCTCCTCCTCCTTCTGGTCCTCCTTCTCCTCCTCCTCTTTCTGGAAGTGTTCAGGGCTTACTCCTGGCTCTGTGCTCAGAGATCACTCCTGGCAGGCTCAGGGGACCAAACAGAATGCCAGGGTTTGTACTGGGTCAGCCACTGCAGGGCCTACCCATTGTACTATAGCTCCAGCCCTAGGGCAACTCCTCAGCATTTCCTACATGTCCCCCTGCCCCCACCCGCAGGACAGAGTGACTACTGTAAGCCATCTAGTTCTCTGTGACCTCTCAGAGTCCCCAGGACTGAGGACAGAGCTGGGCACGCAGCAGATACTCAGCTCTCACCTGTATGTCAGTGAGTTCATTTCCCCGCAATAGCATCTTGCTCTGGACACTCGTAGACCCACGTGATCAAGCGGGCATTTGAAAGCTGGTTTTATTTTGTTCGGGGCAGGGGGTGCTCCTCAGTGGTGCTCAGCTCAGAAGATCCAGGCTCCCACCTCTGGGAGCCACCACGGAGAATCTCCTGGCCCCTAGCTTGGACCATGAAGAAAGTGCACCGCACTCTGTGAAAAAGATAAAGAAAGAAATTTCAGGGAGAGGGAGAGAGAGAGAGAGAGAGAGATGCTGGAGAGATAGCACAGCGGGTAGGGCGTTTGCCTTGCACACAGCGACCTGGGTTCGAGTCCCAGTATCCCATATGATCCCCTGAGCACCGCCAGAAGTAACTTCTGAGTGCAGAGCCAGGAGTAACCCCTGTGCATCGCGGGGTGTGACCCCTTCCCCCCAAAAAACCCCAGAGAGACAGAGACAGAGAGACAGAGACAGAGACAGAGAGGGAGGGAAGGGGGGAGAGAGAGACACGGTGGGAGAGGGAGAGGGAGAGATTTTTTTTTCTGCCAGCTAGTGAGGGAAGCTTAGAGAGAGTTTGATGAGGGTGGATCTTTGTGGGGGTGCAAGGCAGCCTGTTAGGGAGGCCTACAGCAGTACATATGTGTAAACTGCAGCGTGAATATGTAGACTGTGTGTATGCAGACTCGAGTGTGTATATGTAGACTGTGAGCATGTATACACGTGTAGACTGCAAAAGAGTGTGTGTGTGTGTGTGTGTGCGCGCGCGTGTGTGTGCGTGTGTGTGTGTGTGTGTGTGTGTGGGACACGGACCCCACCGCCTGCCTGTCCGGCTCCAGGCGGCCCAGCAAAGGCGGGTCAGCCTCTGGCCGGGATCCTGGTTTCCCAGGGAGAAACGTGGCATTCTCAATTCGCGCTCCTCTCCCGCCCCAGAGCGACTGCTGGTCCTGGCGTGGGGAGGCTCCGCCCCTCGGCGGGCCGGGTGGGGCTCCCTTGCGAGCGGGAAGCAGAGGGACCCCACTTTGGGGCCTCTGGCGGGAGCATCCGGGCCCCAGCGCAGATTGGCCGCCCTGGGTTGCGCATCCCAGTGGGGTGCGTGTTGGGGCGCCCGGAGGGGCCTGGGGCGGCCGAGGAGGTGCAGTGGGGGGCTGATGTGAGTCGGGGAGCCCGTGCCTGGGACAGGCCAGCTCCGCGGCCCCCATCCCGGGTGACCCAGGGGGCGGGCAGGGCGGCCTGGGGGATCCCCCCGGCCCCGGGAGACCAGGAGGCAGCGGCGGGGGCGCGGGTGGGGTCCCCGCCCCGGAGCGAGGGTGTGGGGTGGGCGGCACCGACTCGGCTTTCCCCCCCACCCCCACCCCCCGACGCCGCTTCCTGCGCGCTCTCTGCCCAGCCAGCCCGGGTCTGGCCTCGCCGGGCCGCGGCAGTGAAAATTTTAACTCCTTGACAAAAGAGTGAAATGTGGGGGCTTGGTGCACTGAGCTCTGTCGGTAACGGGGATCTTGTGCTGGAACGTTGTGGGTCCCCCACCAGCGAGCTCCTGGGGGCGCCTTCGGAGGAGGTGGCGGTGCGTTATGGTCTAGGCTGGAGGCTCTGGCTAAGGACAGGACTAGGGTCCAGGAGGAGTCTAGGGGGCCTGGACAGGGATCCCCAGCTGCTAGCCTGAATTCGGGGTCTCCTAAATCGGCCCCTGCCGTGTGAGGCTGGTGCAGGGACCTGCGGACAGGGTGGGGGTCTCCCTCCTCACAGTTCCTAATACTCCCTGTTTGCCCCCCACCTCCAGGACTCCCCACAGAACAATCCCGTGAGAGAAGGCTGTTTCCCCGGCGCGCGCAGGTAAGCGGGCCTTTGTCCTTGTCAGCGCCCAGCCCAGCGTACCAGGCTCTCACTCGGGCCAGGGTCTTCCCGGACACCCCCTGATGGTGGTCCAGAAAGGACCAGCTTCCCGCCGAGAACAGAAACCCGGGCGTTAGCAGAACATCCCGGGTGTGTTTAGCTCTGGGTCTTGTGCAATGGCTCTGGAATTTGGTGGATGGAGCAGGAAGCAGGGCGTGTGCACGAGCTGGCATGTGTGCGCATGCTTGTGTGTGCCTGTGTGTTTGTGTGTGTTTGTGTGTAGTGGGGGCTTTTCTGAATCTCCTGTGGGCTCCCCCGGCAGAGGGGTTGCCCACCACCATCCCCCCCCCTCTTTTTCAGGCTGGGCCTCCCCGGTTTGGGCTTGGAGGCCCCAGGCCCTGCAGATGAAGAATCACAATTCCTCCTGGGAATCTCTTCTTTAAGCTGTAAAAACAGGGTTTGACTATTGCCAATTTTGCCCCTGCAGAGACAGGTCTTATCTTGGCTGCTCCTATTCTCTGGAGAGAACAGTCAAATTTTTTTTTTAATTTTTAATTTTTTTAGTGAATCACCGTGATTCCCTTTTTACTCGCTCTCTCTCCTTTAGAGTGTTGTGAGCTGCAATGCAGGTATTAAGTGGCCATCATGTTAGGTCTACAGTCTACTCTCAGTACACATAATCCCATTCTGAGTGGGTCCTCCAAGCATCCTTTGCTTGGTGGTCCCTTCTCTATCTGAACTGCCTTTTCCCCCAGCATGTGAGGCCAGTTTCCAGGCCGTGGAGCAATCCTCCGAGAACAGTCAAATTGGAAAGAAACGGGCTTTTACCAAAGACGATTTTACTTATTTATTATTTATTTATATTTTGGGCTGGAGTGATAGCACAGTGGATAGGGCGTTTATCTTGCATGCGGCTGACCCGACCGACCTGGGTTCGATTCCTCTGCTCTTCTTGGAGAGCCCAGCAAGCTACCGAGAGTATCTTGTCTGCACAGCAAAGCCTGGCAAGCTACCTGTGATGTATTCAATATGCTAAACACGGTAATAGATTCGATATGCCAAACACAGTAACAAATGTCACAATGGAAATGTTACTGGGCCCGCTCCAGCAAATCGATGAACAATGGGAGGACAGTGACTGTGATTTATATTTTGTTTGGGGACCACACCCCATGGTGCTCAGGGTTTACTCCCAACTCTGCACTCAGAGATCACTCTTGGTAAAACTTTGTGGGAGGGGATCATACGGGATGCCAGGGATTGAACCCGGGCTGGCTGCACGCAAGGCAAGCACCCCATCTGCTGTGCTATCACTCCAGCCCCAAAGATATACTGTCTTTAAAAGACATCTCTTTCAAGTGACTGGGAGCAGAATGAGGTTGGCGAGTGGACTGGGGGCCTGATTGGATGGCTGTCTCCCACCAGCATCCCTGAGAGGGACAGGAAGGAGCGGGGAACCAGACTGCACCCAGCCTTTAGTAAGGGGGTCCGAGGGAGGGGTGAGGGCAGGGCTCTAGTGTGGTGCTGGCTCCCTCTCCTGTTGCCCTCTGGGTCCCCAGTGCTCCCCTGCTGATGGTGTATGCGCTGCCTGTTTGCAAACTGTGCGAGGTCTCCTTGGCAGCCACTGCAATTAGTGGGGATGTCACGCCTGAGCTCCCAGGGGCACAGCACAGAGGTTCCCTGGGAACCAGAGTCCGCTGGTAAATGATTGCCTGGCAGCGACCTTGGCAGCGAGGCCCTGCGAGCTGCAGAGCTGCTGGCAGGGCTGTGTCTAGCTGTCATTTTACATGGAAGAATCAGAATGGAGGTTGTGGAAACCAGTTGACTGGCTGATTTGGTGGATGTTGACTTCAACAGTTGTGTGTGTGTGTGTGTGTGTGTGTGTGTGTGTGTGGTGTGGCTGGGAGGGGTGTTTGTTTCAGTGTTTCACTATGGCGGGCTGCGGTGAGGTAGGCACTTCCCCATGTGCAGAGCAAGGGTGGGCAGTGGGGTTTTTCTCCCGGCTGGGGGCTGGGGGGCGGGGTTTACCTCTGGGGAAAACCATCTAATAATAAAATGCTTTTGGAATGGGAGTGTCAATAACTTTTTTTTCTGTTCTCGCCTACTGATAGGGTTGGTGCATTTCCTGAGATCCTAATTAAATGTCTCAGGCTGCTTAATTTGACACCTTCATCTTTCCTGATGGTGGACAGTGATTTCGCATTTCTCATCACAGGTGTGGGAAAGTAGTCTGATAATTCGGTCTAGCGAGAGCAGGGTGGCCCTCCCCCCGGGGGTGGTTTCCAGGTAACTGCTGTGCTCTCACTTGCCTTTGTCTTCTGCCTGTCTTAGCCAGGAACAAGCGGTGGACCTGAGTCCTCAGCCAAGCCCTGTGAGGTTCCAGAAGAACCCGGCTCCACAGCACTGAACCTGTTGTGATTTGCTAGAAACTCTTTCAGGCCTTTCGGTTGGGCAAGAAGTTTCAGGTACTGTAATTTTCTTAATGGGAGACAATGTGCGTATCATCCTCACCATCAGTGGCAGGTAGATTGGCATCATTCAAAAGCTTTGGGCAAAATTAGAGTGGAATTCTTGCTCATTAGTTATAAATGGAGAGAGCAGACACCAGTGCTTAGCTTCTCTGAGCCTCAGTTTCCCCATCTGTCAGAGAGGTAAATCATGGCAGCTGCATGCTAGGTGATAAGCAGCTAGAAATGTCACTTTTTTGGGGGGTCACACCTGTTGAAGCTTAGATGTTACTCCTGGCTCAGCACTCAGGAATTACTCCTGGCAGTGCTTGGGGGACCATATGGGATGCCAGGGATGGGACTGGGGCTGGCCGCATGCAAGGCAAATGCCCTACCCACTGTATGATAGCTCCAGTCTGAAATGGTACTTTTAAAGGCTGGCCAGGCATTTGGAGCAGATACAGCACTATCATAATCTGCCAATTCCTGTCATTCCGTTCATCCTTAGCTGTTATATCCTCCTGCAAATTTCTGGGACTTCTAGTGGAATATGGGAGTGATAGTATAGGGGCTCAGTATGAATCTCGAATTTAGACTTAATTCCGCTTTCCTTACAACGGAGGGTCTGGCGTGTACATGCCAGGCTGAAACTGTTCAGTGAGCAAATTCTGCTCTTGCAGCGCCCTCCTGATGGTCAGCGTGGGGACAGGGACTTCTCACAGGTTCCATGACCCTCCCTCCAGGTGCATAGACTCTCAGATCACTAGTGGCCTGCAGGACTAAGTGTGGTACAAAAGGCGCACAGGTGAAGCATTTTGCCGATTCTGAATGCTGTTTCTTGGCAGTGACTCCAAGGTCCATGTGCTGTTCTGCTAGCCTCGTTCCTGTTTCTTCCCAGCCTTGTCAGAACCTGGGCTGGAATTCAAACCATGCTGTGGTCTCAGCCTTGTGAAGGATCTAGCTGGGGCTGGAGAGGGGAGGAAGGAGACAAGTGTCCTGGGGTGATGCTTCCACAAGCCAGGGATGCCAGGGATGCAATTGGGGTCGGCTGCATGCAAGGCAAACACAGCTGGGATAAGGGCCCAAGAGCAGAGGAAGAGGTGGTTGGCCCGAAGGTCAGTCAGGGCCACCAGCAGTGGTAGTTGTAGGCTTGTGTGAGCCCCTCTGCTGGGGGAGAGAGGGAGCCACAGTGTGAAAAGGCAGCAGAGTGTCCTGGGGACTCTGGCACACTGTCCAGGAAGGGTGGAAAGAAAACAGATGCTAGAGGCTGCAGAAGGGAGCCGAGAACTGCTTCCTGCTCTGGGCTTGTTATTAAGAACAGGCTACGGTGGCTGCCTGTGCCAATGCATAAATAGTTAAATAGCAGTTCCCATATGCACTGTCTTGGGAGGAGGGGCCGCAGGTGTTGTGTTACCCTTGCCCACAGCACGCCTGGTAACCTGCTGTGGCTCTAAGGCACGGCTTGTTGTGGCAATTGTTTCTGAGGCTCCTTCCACAGGGTCCCCGTGTATGTGGAGTGGAGCATGGTGAGTATCATGTCACCTGAGGCTTTTTATTTTTAAATGACCCGATGCTTTTAGTTGAAGTGTCCCGGTCTCCTCGTGGTCACAGTTGGCGGGGAAGAGAACCCGAGGAAGGGACTTGGTGCTGCTGCCGGAAAGGTGGGTGGTGGCATCTTGCAGGCGCTCTCCCCCCGCCCCCCCCCTGCCAGCCAAAGGATTAGGTACTGTGGCTTTGAGGAGCTCTCTGGAGCTCCCAGATGGGGGCAGAGGTATGGTCTGTGGCCTTTGGTGGCCTGGTACCTATCAGTGATGGGAGCGGGGTGGCGGAAGGAATGAATGAGTTAGAGATGATGCAGGCAGTGATCTGACCTAGGCGGAGTTGGAGCGTGAACAACCTCATGGATCCCTCGTGGCGGGGCTTGTCCTTGGCGTCACCCTTTTTTTCCTGGGCTCTGCTCTGACCATGGGGCTGTGAGTCTCGCACGTAGTCTCGTGCCCCTTGGCCACGTGGGCTCATGCAGTCCACTGCCTGGCCTGACTGGGATTCTCTTCTCACTCTCCAGGCCCTTTCTCAATTCTTCGGCCTGCCACCGTGGCCGTGGTGCCGTCCCTCCCCTGTGGTCAGCCCCATGCAGTCTCCTGCCACCGTTACCGAGGGCCTCAATGCCCCCCTCTTGGGGACCTACACGGTCCCCCCCTTCAAGTTCCAGCCTCGCCGGGAGACAGTGGACTGGAGGCGCATCAGCGCCCTGGACGTGGACCGCGTGGCCCGGGAGCTGGACGTGGCTGCCCTGCAGGAGAACATCGCCGGCGTCACCTTCTGCAACCTGGAGCGGGAGGCCTGCAGCCGCTGTGGGCAGCCCGTGGACCCGGTGCTGCTCAAGGTGCTGCGCCTGGCACAGCTCACCATCGAGTACCTGCTGCACTGCCAGGACTGCCTGAGTGCCAGCGTGGCCCAGCTGGAGGCACGGCTGCAGGCCAGCCTGGGCCAGCAGGAGCGAGGCCAGCAGGAGCTGGGCCGCCAGGCCGACGAGCTCAAGGGCGTGCGGGAGGAGAGCCGGCGGAGGCGCAAGATGATCAGCACCCTGCAGCAGCTGCTCCTGCAGACGGGCGCCCACAGCTACCGCTCGGTGAGGCCCCCGCGGTGGCCAGTCTCCCGATGGGAGCAGGTGTCACAGGAGCTGCCCAGGGCCAGGCAGCCCGGGGCACTGACCGGAGATGCTGTGTGTGGGGTGTGTGTGTGTGTGTGTGTGAGTGTTTGTATGTCTGAGTGTGCATGTTTGAGTGTGTGAAGTATGTGTGTGTGAGTGTGTGTAGTGTGTGTGAAGTGTGTGAGTGTGTGTTTATATGTGTGTAGTATGTACAAAGTATGTGAGTGTGTTTGTCAGTGTGTGTATGTGTGCAGTGTGTGTGAAGTATAGTGAGTATGTGTAGCGTGTGTCAAGTATGTGTGTATAAGTGTGTATGTATAGTGTATATGAGTGTGTGAGTGTGTGGAGTGTGTGAAGTGTATGTGAATGTGTGTGAGTGTGTGTAATGTGTGAAGTGTATGTGAGTGTGTGTGTGTGAAGGATGTGTGTGCAGTTTATATGTACTTAAAGAGAGACACCCTTCGTGTCTAGGGTGTGTGGGTGGAAGGCGTGTGTTTATGAATGGTGTGAACATGTGTGTCTAATGCATGTAGTGAGTGTTTGGCAGGCACCTGTGTTTGTGGTTTGAGTGTGTGCAGAGTTTGTGATGTGGCATGCGCCTGCGTGGTAGGTGTGCATATCAGGATACTTGCAGGTGTATGAATGGATGGTGTAAGTGGGTTAGAGGGTGTTTGTGTAAGGAAGTCTGGTGTTTTGAGGCTGTGTGTGCATGAACGAAGGGGCTGTATTTGTGAGTCATGATGTGAGTGTGTGTAAGAGGTGAGAGTGTGTATAAGAGGTGTGAAGTGTGTGTAAGATGTGAGTGTGTATGAGATGTGTGAATGTATGTGTGTTTGAGTGTGTGTACCAAGTGAGTGGCCAGGTGGAGCAGTGTCGTGCCGGCTGTTTCTCCCTGGTGTGGATCCATCCATTTCCCCCTGGGTGGCATCTCTGCATGGAAATCGGGGTCCCGGGACAGTTGCCCCTTAGTCCGTTGTCATAGTGAGTGGGCCCTCTGCCAGGTGCCAGGGATGCAGGCACATGGCAGGCTGGTTCGTCTTCTAGAAATCGTGGCTTGGTGTGGAAGAACAGAGGAATCTGTTGCAACATGATGGAGAGACTTGATATAACTATGATAGAATGATCAGAGGGGCTAGAATCTTCTTGACAGGAAGTGACAAAAGAGCAGTCTGAGATGACTTAGGTCAATGAGGTTATTTTTCATTGCTTTAAAGGGGAAACCCAGTCTGGTGGGGGCTTGGGCTTGGCTTGCTGTGAGGAGGCCATGGACTCTTGTTCTTTCATTGGAGAACTTGGCAGCTCTTCCTTTGTACACCAGGTTCTGTCCATCAGGATGCACTTGTGCAGCCAGATTCGGGCTGGAGTGGTAGAGGCTCTGCTGAGGCGTCTGGAGCCCAGCCAGACTCCAGCTGGCGTGGACCCGTGTCTCTGAGCCATTTCGGGGCCCAGGGAAATGGCGTTTACTTCTTCCCCATAGGCTTGGGACTGGACTGAGAGTAGGAGAGGGGGATTCGCCCAGGGAAGTTGGGGTGCTGGTGTAGGAGGAAGAGGAGGAGGCTACCAGAAATGAGCGTGCATCCTTTCTAGGTGGAGAAGGTGCGGCAAGGCTGAGGAGCCAGGAAAGGGAGAGAGGGAGAGAGAGTGTGTCTTTCTGAGGAGGGGTTTAACCTGAAACCCATGAGCGCTGTTTGGGGTGTCACAGGCAGTGGCAGACAAGGAGAAAGAGGACAATTCAATGGAGGGTTGTGCGGGGGTGGGGGGGACAGGCAGGAGAGGAGGGTGGAGCCGGCCATGGGGCTAAGGCCACTCTGAATGTGTGTGGACTTGCTTTTTGGAGGAACACTCAATACTGTTTTCCAAAAAGGCCAGACCAGTCACTGTTCCCACCAGCAGTGAATGAGGTTCCCTTTTCCTCATATCCAAGCCAGTGCTCGTTGTTCTTGTTCCTTCTGATGTGTGTCAGTCTCTGTGGTGAGATAACATCTCATTGTGGTTTTGATTTGCAATTCTCTGATGATTGGTGATTCTCAGTATTTTTTCATATGCCTTTTGGTCATTTGGATTTCTTCTTTGAGGAAATTTCTGTTCATCTCTTCTCCCCATTTTTTGATGGGCTTAGATTCTTTTTTCTTCTTATAAAGTTCTAATAGTGCTTTATATATCCTGGATATTAACCCTTTATGGGATGAGTGGCAGGCAAGTAATTTCTCCCAGTCTGTCTTCTTTTCCATTGAGGTGCAGCATGTGACTTTGTATCTCAGGGGGATTCAAGGGGGGGGGGAAGCAATAAAACTAGAAAGAAGGAAAGAAAGAAAGAAAGAAAGAAAGAAAGAAAGAAAGAAAGTAAGCGTGGATTAGGATTTGAGGGCAGGTGGCTGCCTTCAGGGGCAGGACTGTGAGTCCGATGCCTGCATTGGGGATGGGGCTCAGGGAAGCAGGTAAGGGGTGGGGTGAGGGGTAGGGCTTATAGTCTACAATAAGATGCCTTATTAAATATTCCCCACCCCACCAATGTATATTCTTTCAGAGTCATTTGTGTCCCTGTAGACTTCCTGAGTGGGATAAACCTGCTGATTCAGGTTGTATCTGTTTGGATTAAGTTTGACTATGGGTGACAGGGAACCTCAGATTGTCACTGTTTAAACCAAATGAATTTTTGTTTTCTTCTGTTATGAACAGAGTCCACAGACAAGCAGTCCAGGCTGGTATATGTTATACCACTATGGAGACTCATTCATTGTTCTTTAGCCTCATCCTATGTCCACTGCCTCATGGGTCAAGATGATTGCCTGAGCTCCAGCCCTCAAATCCACATTCTGTTCTGCAGGGGGAGGATGGGGCAGGAATACATGGTCTCTTTAATGACACCTCGAGGGTCACTTCTGCTTGAATTTCAATGGTCAGAATGCGATTCCGTGGCCACATCTCCTTGAAGAGATACTGGATGTGTCTCTATGCTCACTGACCTCATGACTAGCTAAGAATGAGGATTTTTATTACGAAGGAAAAGTGGTAGATGGGTGGGGGGAATTGACAAAGTCTGTTAAACTGACCCTTGTGTAAAATTTCAAATAATCTGTCCTCTTACTCTGATCAGCTGGTAACAACAGTTTGTGGAGCTGTCTGGAGGGGTTTGGAAGGTTTTTGGTGGAAGGACAACAGGAGTGAGCTGACGGCATCTGAAGTGCCCGGGAGAGGCACAACACGTGCCAGGGGCAGCTACATGTGCTCTCTCTGCTCCCTTGGCTCCTCAGCCCTGGGAGGGACCTGGCCATTGGTGTCAAACAAGTCCTGGATTTTAGTTATGGAAAATTTCAAAGACATCAAAGTCCAGAGGAAAATAGTGAGTCTTCATTCTCGTGCCATCCGGGTCAGCACCGTCTGCCCATATGGGGAGACTTCATCCACATACCAGCCAGGTCAGCATCATCAACTCGTATGGTGAGCCTTCATTGTCACACCACCTGGATCAGCAGCATCATTTGCCCATGACCTGGGTGTCGCCTTTGTCCCTTCCCCATCACCCCCTGTTCAGTAATGGCAGTGTACATTACTGAAGCCTGTAGTCCTAGAGTTTATCTGCGAATGCTTCCATCTCTTTCTCTAAAAGACTCTTTTTAAAAATTAAAACTATATTTTTATAATAGCTTTGGGAACATGATTACAAAAGTGTTAAAGTTGATGTCACTCATGTGCAAAGGTGCTGTACCCCTCTGCCACTGAAGCCCGCACAACTCTCCCCCACAGCCCCCGTGTCACCTCTGGGACTCCCACTTTTCACATGAACTCAGTCCCATCATCATGTCCTGGAAAATGACAGTGTTATTAAATACTCAAAATTCACAGTTCCCAATGCCTAGGACACTGGTAGTGATTTAAGGCCCCTTGTATGATTCTAATGGGCAGATTTTTTTTTTTGGTGGCTACAGTTGGGACCTCTGTTTTACTAAAATCAACCTGTTTATTTAATTTTAATTTTATTATTATTTTGGTTTGGGGGCCATGCCCAGCTGTGCTCAAGCTTACTCCTGGCTCTGTTCTCAGGGATCACTCTGGTGGGCTTGGCAGACCATAATGAAGTGCTGGGGATTGAACCTGGGTCAACTGCGTGCAAGGGAAATGTCCTACCCGCTATATGATCTCTCAGGCCCAGGACGTCTTCAGTTCTAAGGCCACCCGGGGGCCCAGTCTGTGGACCTTGGGGTGCTGGTTTCCCATTGGCTCCGAGCACTTGAACATGCTGTGACTCTGTCTGTCTGGGTTTGTGAGTGGTCCTTTCGCAGTGGGGTCTGTTTGGCTTCACGAGCCTGTTTTGCACATTGTGTGCTTGGAAAAGGAGTTCTGACACCATGATCTGCCCGTGGGTGCCTGATCTAATCCTGCCCTTGTCCCTCCTCCCCTCCATGCAGTGCCACCTGTGTGACAAGACCTTCATGAATGCCACCTTTCTTCGGGGCCACATCCAGCGCAGGCACCTGGGCCCGGCTGAGGGCGGTGAGTCCAGGTGGCTATGGGGGAGTCTGGGCTGCTCTTCAGTGGGTGGGTGGGGGCCCGTGTACCCCTGCCATGCCGCCTTAGACTCTCAACAGACAACTGAGGAAGGGACGCTCCCTCCATCCATCATGGTGGGGGACCCCCTTGGGCTGGCATGGAGAAGGGCTAAGAGTGAGGCCGGCCTGGTCTCAACTTAGTACATCTGTGTGGTGTGTCCAGCTCAGTGTGTCCCCTTTGTGTCTCAGTGACTTTTAGTTTTACTCTTTCATATTCCGAAATGCTTTAACAAAGTTTTTCCCCAGAGATTTGCATGTTTTCAATCTATATCAAAAGCTTCAATAAAACAAGCTGTAGAAACAAATACTAAAACCATAAATATAAAAAGACTTTTTTTATGATTTTATGTCATCTTAATTTTCTTTGCAATGGTTTGGAGGTTCTTATTTTGGGCCTCCGAAGTTGTGGTCAAGGAGCGTGAGGACCACTCCTGGCAGTACTCAGCCAACTGGGCAGGTGATGGGGCTGCTAGTACCATATCTGGCAATGCTAGGGGCCTTCCAAAGCTATACCCAGTGATGCTAGAGAGACCATGTGGTGCCAGGACCCATCCTGGATCAGGTGCATGGCCCAATTGCCCAAACCAAGCCCGAAATGTAGAATTTTAAAATAACACCATGTAGAAAAAAACCCCCACCATTTAGCTCGATCTGATGAATTTATTATATATCTGTAGTTCCTCATTCTCCATTGTTTTTGTTTTTTGTTTTTTTTTGCTTTTTGGGTCACACCCGGCAATGCACAGGGGTTACTCCTGGCTCATGCACTCAGGAATTACTCCTGGTGGTGCTTGGGGACCATATGGGATGTTGAGAATTGAACCCGGGTCGGCTGCATGCAAGGCGAATGCCCTACCTGCTGTGCTATCACTCCAGCCCCTTCATTCTCCATTGGAGAAAAAACATCTTTAAATAATTTTTCATATTTAAATAATTTAAATATTTAAACAATATGCAAATAATTCTTTATATATTTAAATATTTCTTTCTCAAAAAGAGCTTGTTCCTCTCTCTATGTGGACCACCAGGAAAGCAGGGCAAGCAGGAGCAGCCTGTGGAGGAGGTGTTAGAAGAGCTGCGGGCCAAGCTGAAGTGGACCCAAGGGGAACTGGAAGCCCAGAGGGAGGCTGAGAGGCAGCGGCAGCTCCAGGTGGGTAGGGAGAGGCCGCCTCATGGCTCCGGACACAGTGACATCACAGGACTCCCTCGCACATGTGTGTCCCACCCAGGCTGGCTTCCCTTAGCTGGTAGTCAGAGCCAGGATGCCACTCTTCCGTGTGCCCAAATGATGCTAGGCACCTGGAGAGGAACATGCATTTACTTTGCTAGACTTGGGTAGAGTGAGTAGTTTCCTGCAGCACCTTCTGAGAGTGCTTGGAACTGTATCTTTATTTTTCAACTACACCTTTAGCTTATTGAGGACAAAAACTGTGTCATAATCTAAATGCCCTATAACCAACCCAGAAGTGCTCAATAAACATAGAATGAAAATACTTAAACTTCCCTTGCCCCTACTTTTGTTGTTTAGTTAGTGTGTATTCTTCAGCATGCATTTATTGAGCACCAACAATGTCAGGTGTTGTGAGGAATATGAAGAGAGAAAATGCAATCCTTCTTCTCCTCAAGGGATTTGACAGTTCAAGTGAGGTCTGGTCCAATCCAAGTTTAAACAGTGGAACTGGCATGGAATGTTCTTTCACTTTCGTTGGGACTTGCATGAACAAGGGACACTAGGGGGTTCCCAGTAAATGTTTGCCTTTATGTACACTAAGACTCTTTTGTCCTTCCTTTTCTTACAGGAAGCAGAGATTTCTCGTCAGAGGGAAACAGACGCTAAGAGAGAATTTGATGAATGGAAAGAGAAAGAGCGGGCTCAGCTCTATGGAGAAATAGACAAGCTAAAGCATTTATTTTGGGATGAATTTAAAAATGTTGCTAATCATAACTCTACACTAGAAGAGGTACTGACATAAAAACTGCTTCAAAGTTCTTTTGTTGATAATCTGTTTACTTGTTCTCAAAACCACTCATTTCTAGGCTTGTCGTTGTGTGTGTGTGTGTGTGTGTGTGTGTGTGTGTGTGTGTGTGTGTGCATGTGTCTGTGCATGCACGCTCTAGGGATTGGATTCAGAGCCTCTTACCTGCAAGTCATGTGTTCTCTTATAGAGCTACACCTGATAATATAGGTGATAATACAGTGAGATCCAATACAGAGGTTAGTGACTGGATCCCTACTCTGATATACTGAGTGTGACCTTGGTCAAAGTACTTCCTGTGCCTCAAGTTCTTTCTAGAAGACAAGTTGCCCAAGGGTTCACTAAGCTTAAACACAGCACCTCACATTATCTGGTACGTAGTAAGAACTCCCAACATATATTTGGTTTTACCCACTGCAAAAGAAATGTTGTGAAGTTGAATGATGCATTTTTGGGCTTGTTTTGGATATGACCATGTCCAGTGACCCTCAGAGGATCACGGGGGGCAGGATTCAAACTAGAACCTCCTGCGTGCAGATACATGATCAGCCTTGAGCCATCTCTCCAGCTCATTTTTCGCCCTAACAAGTATTTTCTGGGGAAATGCTGGCTGGCTAAGTGACAGGCTCTCTGTTGGGGTCTGTGTGTGGGGATCCCCCCATGGAGTTAATATTTACAGATTGTATTTGCTGTTTTCCAGCCCCAGTGCAGAACACTTTATATTAACTAGCTGTTAATTTTCATAACAACCAAATAATGATCACATCCTCAACATTGGCACATTATTAGCTTATACATTTCTTTTTAAATAGTTTTTTAAAAGCAATTATTCTATTCCTCCTTTTCAGATGAAGCATTGAGGCCATGTAACTTGTCCAAGGTTACATAATTGTAATTTTGTTACACAACTTTAACTATAAAGAGCTCAACCCAGCCCCTCCGTATCCCTCTTTCCTTCCTTCCCTCCCTTTCTCCTTCTCCCCTCCCTCCCTCCGTCCCTCCCCCCTCCCTCCCTCCCTCTCTTTCTCATTCCTTCCCTCCCTCTCTCCTTAACCTCGTTCCCTCCCTTCTTCCTTCCCTCTCTTCCTCCCCCTCTCATCTCTCCCTTCCTTCCTCCCTCCCACCCTTCCTCTGTCTTGGGGATCAAAGCCAGGGCCTCACACATGGAGGCCTGTATTTCACTGCTAAGCCCCAGTTACTAGAACTGGAACTTAAATGCATTATTGATTATTATTTGCATTGATCTTTTTTCTATTCAGACACTGATTTGCAAAGCTATCCGCAATAGATTTCCAGGCTTACAATGCTCTGAATCCCCTCACAGGTGCCAGAGGCCCTCCACGGAAGCCTACAGGCTCTCCTCCAAACTCACTACCCCTGCAGCCCACGTCCTTAATAGCAATTAAAAAAACTTTTTTTTTAAATAGCAGTGTGGGTCCATGTAACTAAACCATTAGACAGTCATCTTGGTTGCTCTAGTGGTTTAGTTAAATGCAGATACCTCACTTTGACACCACCGATGTCTCCAAGATCGCTGGTCCTTACCTCTATGTCACCTCCGGACTGCCTCTTCCTCCTTGCCCCTCTATTTCTCTCCTTCCCTGGACTTTGCATCACTCACACGGGGCAAGAGCTTTTCTGCCTTTGATACCTTACATTCCCCTGTCATGTTATTTTTATGCCACAAGCAGGGAGCATACCTTTGAACATCACTCATTAAACTTCAAAGCCCCTGCCCTCTTACTGTCGTCACTGACAAGTTCATTCAGGGAAACATTTTTTTTTAAATTTATTTATTGAATCACTGTGGGAAAGGTTACAAAGCTTTCAGGTTTATGTCTCAGTCATGCAAATATCAAACACATTTCCCTTTACCAGTACTTATTTTTTACCATGAAGAACCCCAATAAAGCCCCACCCCCCACCCCTCCCCGTCCCTGTGAGGCAGATGAATTCTAGTTAACACTCTATCTGCTTTGATTAGATTCATTGTTTCAATAAAAGATTCACCACTATTATTTAGAGTTTACCCCCCCCCCCCAAATCAGACATGCTGAAAAAGCATTGTGAAGTGATTTGCTTTCTACAGCTGGGTTCAAGAATTAAATGTTGGTTTTGGATTTCTGCTATTTTACCTATTGACCCTGGAAGTATTTCTACTGAAAGTCAGATAGTTAAGAAATTGGTTTCTGTGTTCTGGAGTCGTGGCCGTGCTGGAGAGCCGCTCGCGGGGGGCAACCGGTGGCCTCGGTAGGGCGTGAAGGGCGGAGCGAAACGCCCCCCTTCCCATGAGGTTTTAGTCGCCCCCACACTCCCGGCTCATACCTGCTGTCCACAAGGCTCCCATGTGGCCGCCATCTTTCTTTCCAGAGAGGAGAGGGCGAATGGGGCAACACCCTTTTCAGGGAAACATTTTTAAAGTTACCCCTGGACTCTGTCTTTCTATATAAATCTGTATGACTAAAAATGTCAGGGAAAACGTTTTGAAGACTAATGTTTTAGAATGCATTTAGTGTCTACCGAGCCTTCTAGCAAAGGAGAACTTTGTTTTTGAAAAGGAGCTATTTAATAGTGTTCTTCTGAGTCATGTCATAGTTTGCCTAAGTGACCCCTAGGTGGCAATTCCAGGAGTATATCGCTAGAAATGCTTGCAACCTTGGCCGTCCATCATTTTAGTTTGAAATGGAGAGCCAAGGTTGGAAGCTGGTGTGATTGGGTCGATAACGTGTGTGTGTGTGTGTGTGTGTGTGTGTGTGTGTTTACCCCTGTCTTCCCATTCTAGATGTTACCCAGTGTGCTCAGGCATGGTTTGTGGGAGATAAGATGAAGGATCCCTCTAGCACCACCACCCTCCTCCCCCTGCCCCAGATCCATCTGCATCATTCCTGAGGTCACAGCGACTTCTCCTTTCTCCACAGTGAGCTGGCTGACTAGATGTTCCCTTGCATTTATGTAATTGTCGGGGAAGACATACCCAGTAGTGCTCAGGGGCTACTTCTGGGCTCAGGGGTCCCGTCTAGTGGGGCTCAGGGAACTAGACGTAGTGCTAGGGATCAAACCAGGGTCAACCACATGCAACCTCTGTACTATTTGTCTAGCCCTGGAATTTAGATACTTATTTTACTATGCACATATTTGTATTTGTGTCTCTGATTCTTTTTCTCACCTGACATTTATTATCTTACTTTCTTTAAAATATAGGCACTGGGGCTAGAGAGATAGCACAGCAGGTAGGGTGGTTGGCCCTGTTTAATCCCTACCACCCTATACAGTCTCTGGAGTTAAGCCAGGAGTGATCCCTGAGTACAGATCCAGGAGTAAGTCCTGTGCACTATTGGGTGCGAGCAAAAAACAAACAAAAAATCCCAGCAACAAAAAAGTAAACTGGGTAGAAAAAAAATTTGTGTTTTGGAATAATTCTTTTTCTAATTTATTTTTCAAAATTCTGAAATAAAATGGATAAGAATTCCGGAGTGAAAAATATGCAAAACAGTTCATTTCTAAAGCACCTAGAAGATGATGTCTATAGGGTCAATGAGAGATAAATACATTTTGAAAATATTTCTCCTCAGAACTTTCTTACATACAGAAGTCTGAGAGCTTTCCTTGGCTAAATTATCTGATTAAAGTGGTAGTCTTATTCTATTTTTTCTTTTACATTTTATTGGAGGTACCATGATTTGCAGTACTTTTAGTAATTTGTTTTTTCTTTTTTTGGACACACCTGGCAGTACTCAGGGCTTACTCCTGACTCTGCACTCAGGAATCACTCCTGGAGGTGCTTGGGGGCCATATAGGATGCTAGAGATTGAACCCAGGCCTGCTGTATGCAAGGCAAACACTCTACCTGTTGTATTGTCACTCCAGCCCAAAGAACTGGATTTCTCATATATAATATTCCAACACCACGACCAAGAGGGAATTTCAGATTAAGTATAGGGTCCATCTGGCTGTGGCAGGAGGTCCTTGTGGAAGGGGAAACCCATGAAGGTCTGTCTTGCCCAGAGCGCAGCTGTCTGCTATGGCGTGAACAGCAGAACATAAGTTCAGAACCCAGAGCTGGGCCTTATACGCAATAAAGCGCTGCACTCTACAAAAATACTCAAGGGGGTGACAAATGTTTGACAACCTCTAATGTTGCGTTAGTAGAGGAGGAGAGCAGTGTTAGCAAAAATGACTCCAGGTAAAATCCACAACTCCCTTTAAATTTCAAACTGGGCTGCTGAGTCTGTATCTAGAAACAGATATGAAGATAGTTGCTATTTCGTTACTTCAATAGTGACATGCTTAAAAGCACAACCAGGGGTGTGTGGAAGGCTTCCCTTTTGACTATTCCTTTTCCTACACATCACACACAGAAATTACTGAGCCTGGCTCTAAGCTGTGTAAAGCCAGCCATTCCTGGTGATGGCCAAAATGTGTGTGTGTGTGTGTGTGTGTGTGTGTGTGTGTGTGTGTTCGTATAAGTGGGACAAGAGTCTTCAAGAAATGAGCCAAGTTCTTTTCAGCTTTTTTGAGACTGAGGAAGAGATGGGGCAGTTGTCAGGGTTTCAGCCTAGCAGGATTTCAGTGCAAAGGCAATTATGCTTTTAAATTCTGTGCCTCCTGGGAACTTGGCCCTCCCATGCAGGGCTGAGCTCTCAGGTGAATGCTGGCCAAGGAGATTGTGGACTTTGGGTGGCTAGTCACAGCTGTGTCCATACCGGGGGGGGTGCATTGGGGGTCTGTGGCTAGGGGAAAATGGGCCTTGACATTGTTCAAGGTACAGCAGAGATCCCGGGTCTAGATCTTCATCTAAGTCTGTGCCTGGCCTTTCTCTAGAAACTACAGACCCTGCAGTCTCACGCTGTGATGGAGTCCAACCTTGGCTCTTTGCGCGATGAGGAGTCGGAGGAGCAGCTGAGGCAGGCGCAGAAGCTCCGGGACCTGAAGGAGAAGATGGACCTTCAGGTGAGCTGATGGGCCCAAGCCAGCCCAGAACCATATTGTCTTCCAACAGAGTCTTTGGGCTTGGCCCGATATTTTTAGCCAACTTCTCTATTTCCCAGAACTACCAGGAGAGTTAGGATCAAGTAAGATTCTTGAGAGTCTAAGGTGAGGCTGGTAGGGGTGTATTTGCACTATCAATTTGCCTGTGGTGTTTTTCAAAAACACACATGGTAAGCATCTCTTTTTTGATACGTTTGCTCTCATTTTTATTCCAGTCAGTTCCAAAAACCTTCTTAGTGTGAGAGTCTCCTGGGGTTGAAAATATTTGGGGTAGATCTAGTAGTGTGATGGTAAAAGTTTAACAACAACTCTCTGGAATCAAAAAAGGATTTTAGCCTTTGCCATTAACTGGGTATCAATATTACCACCCTAGTTGATTCCATGTTATGGGAGACCACTGAGTATAGAATTGACTTGTGTACCATCTGCTCTTGCGAGTGGGTATGAGACACTGACCGCTGCTGGGGAAATTTTACTACCAGCTAGTTACCTATGGTCTATAATCTCTGATAATTCCATTACAGGGAGAGGAAATTGGCATGGTCATTAAATCATGGCCTGCTTTGTCCAAGTTTGTTAGGCAAGAACTTAATGTCTAACTAACAGTCTGTCTAAGTTTCAGATTAAGAACAAAGCCATTACTTATCTCTGAGCCCTAGTCACATTCCTTTGCTTGCTTTCCGATTGATTTCCTTACCAACCTGTGACTTTGTACAAGATATGACAATTAACCCAACATTTCTACTGGTCTTTCAACTCTGTTTATTAAAGTCTTGGCCACACAAACATTAATCATGTTTATGTGGCAAAATGATCAAATTATCCATCTTTCCTTTGTGAATAGTTTATTGTTTGCATGTGAAATGTTACAATGTAACTGAATTTTACATGCTGAATTTGTGGTCTGTAACGTTACTGAATGTGTTTATTGTTTCTGATGTGATGAGTCCTTAGGGTTCCCTAAAATATGATTATGTCTTGGCAGAGTGTTGATTTCTTCGTGCAAAAGCAAATTTGAATATCTTTTATTTCTTGTATTTGCCTGATTGCTGGACTGGAGCGATAGCAAAGCGGTAGGGTGTTTGCCTTGCACGCGGCTGACCTGACCGACCCAGGTTCAATTCCTCCACCCTCTCGGAGAGCCTGGCAAACTACCGAGAGTATCTAGCCAGCACGGCAAAGCCTGGCAAGCTACCTGTGACATATTCGATATGCCAAACACAGTAACAACAAGTCTCACAAAGAAGACGTTACTGGTCCCGCTCGAGCAAATCGCTGAACAACGGGAGGACAGTGCTACAGTGCTCTGACTTTATGTCCAGTATTGTGTTAAATATGTCATGAGAATAGTCATCCTTATCTGTTTTTCCTGATCATTCAGGGCAAGTGTTCAGCTTTCACTGTTGAGAATAATGTGAACTCTGGGATTGTCAAATCTGGCTTTTATTACTTTGAGATTTTTCTTTGAACCCCATTTGTTGGTATTTTTTAAAATCAAAAAATGTTGTTGAGTTTTGTAAAATATTTTTTCTATATTACTGAGATGAATATGTGATCTATCCTTTGTTATGTTAATATGGCACATTGCATTTATTGATTTCTGTTTGTTGAGACTTTTTGTTTGTTTGCTTTGGGACTGCACCCCGTGATACCAAGGGTTATTCCTGGCTCTGCACTCAGGAATTACACCTGGCAAAACTCAGGGATATATGGGATGCCGGGGATCAAATCAAATCTGGGTTGGCCACATGCCAGGCAAACATCCTACCTGCTGCACTATCACTGCTCCCCCCGCCCCCTACCCGTTGATCCATTCTTTTATCCAAGAGATGGGCCTTTGTCAGGTGATGATTTCTCAGTCAGTCCCCATTCCACTGCAGTGATTTGGGCCCAGTGGCAGCCAGGCCTTCATAGCATAACTCAGCTGTCTGTGTCTCTCTAAGGTTAGTCGTGAAGCTGGGCAGTCACTTCTGACTGTAGTATTCTTATTTCTGCTCCCATACTTTCTTGTGTGTTCCTGATTACCTGTACCATCATTTCCTTTGAGCTCATTAAACTTCCTCGTCCTGGTGCCTCTCTGGTCATTCTCTGAGAGACCTGAGTTGGCTGGTACTGGTTTTCCATGTTATTCGCCTTCATTCGCTGAGCTTGCTGGACCTCTCCATGGCTTCCTCATTGTGTCTGCTGGGTTCTGAGGGTGAATCTTTGTAGTCTGCCCTGGGGGGAGCTCTCGCAGGGATTAGGCTGAGAGATCCCCCCACTTCCCCACTGTGCTCACCCAGAGATAGGAAGTGTCTGTGTGTGATGCGTGAAGTATGATGAGCAGAGCTACTTATGTGGCCTTGTGATTTGAGGTGTAGGCAATAGCAGGCAGAGTTATGGGGTGTGAATGTGACAGGTCTGAGAAGTGGGTGAGCAAGCAGAGGGTTTAGGGTATGGAGGGCGGCTGGCTGAAACAGCTCACTTCTGTTTTTCTGTGGTTAATACTTAGTCCATCTAGAATTTATTTTGGTTTAAGCTATGAAATAAGGTAGAAGTTAATGTCCATATACATACATATATACATATATTTAGTCAGTATATTACTTGTCTAAACAGCAATCTTCTCCCTAACTACAATTCCATTTCCCTACTTTTACTCTTCCTATTCTTTTTACTGCTCTCTGCATAAGCCGAACCATGACTCTTGAATTCCTTTAGCTTGATAATTGACATCATCATCTATAGGAGCCCATCAAATATGCTACTAATCTTTTTTTTTTTTTTCAGAAAACAGAATGGAAGAGAAAAATGAAAGAACTGCAAGAGGAGCACACAGCTCAAAAGAGAGAGGTAGTGTTCCCTAGGAGTCGAGATGGGGCTCTGTTTCTGAGGATTTCCTCTCATCCTTCAGCCTCCCCACCCCCCAGCATCTTTCATTTCTCCATGGACACCACCCCCCCCGCCACGCCTTGACCTAATTGGGAGATATTTTGTAGCTGATATTGTTCCTGCTTCTGGCTACCAGCAACCAGAAAGTTCAGCTCTTCTTCCTTGTTCTTCCTTGGTGGTGCTGGCCACCCCCAGCCAGAAAGGTCAGCAGCTTCCTTGGCCAGTATCAGAGTCTCCCAGGCCTTCACTTCTGAACCAGCTCATTTCCTTGAGGTTCCCTCTGTGGTGACCCTTCTGCCATCCAACATGGAAGTGTTTTAATCTCAGGTGAAATTCCTGGTGATTTTATGTTTGGGTTCTTATTCGAAACACTGCCCAGGTCTCTGTGGACCTCTGGGACAATTCACATGGGGTCTTAGAAAGGCCTTAGAAGTGGACAGTGGTAGGCAGCGAGCAGCAGGGCTCAGGACAGAGGAAATGGCTTCTCTAAAGCCCTCTGAGGAGGAAGCAAGTTGAGGAGGAAGCTGATTAGTCCAAGGCCTGGATTCTGCCTGCAGCCAGGGGCTCAGATCAGAGTATGGCACTTATTAGATATCCATACCCCAGAAGTCCCCACGGGATGATTTTTATCAGAAACTTTTAGTTGTGGGAAATGTGCTCAAATGCACTTATGGTGAAAGAGAAGGCATCCCGCCATGTTACTGAGAGAAGTCTCTCTTCCACACCGGCTTCATCCACCTTTCCCATCCACACCTGATGTGTGACTGCTTTAGTGCTTCACAGTATTTTCTTTTTCAGTATTTCTTTTAATTTTTGAATTTTATTTTCATAAGGTTATTCACATGAATTGATTACATTCACTGTTTCAACACCAACCCCACCACCATTCCACCTTCCCACTACCCTTATTTCAAATATTCCCACCACTGCTCAAGTCTGCCTGCCAGGGGCAGATGCAAAATAATTTATTTTCTATTCCTTGTTATGAATATCCTGAAATGTTGCGCAGCCGCAAAAGGGGTCACGCGCTCCTGGAATTCTAAAATTGTAAATAATTGGGGTCCAGAGACATCTTGCCGCGAGCTAATCCATTTCGAGATTCATTCCTGAGTCTCTGCTCTGCAGTATTTTCAGTTTCTTTATGCAGATTGAGAGAAGATGAGATTATGAGTGTTTTCACTTCTTTTCACCTAAACTCATTCATTACTTTTTGGCTGACTGTCTTTAAGGCATGGGGCTAGGAGTGGAGGTGGGCTTACGCCTTCCAGAAAGCCCCTTTCCCCTGGTCTATGGGGCTTGCATTCCATCCTTGCTCCATAAGCATCTCCAACCTGGACACACCCATCTTTGTAGAAATCTCCCTTCCCAGGGAGGCCAATCCCGCCTCCGGGAAAGCCTGGCCACGGTTTGCCTAAAGGCCGTACGTCCCACTGACACTGGCCACTCGAGGCCCCTGTCACTGACACTGACCACTCGAGGCCCTTGTGCAGGCATCACACTGACCTTCTGGCCCACCTGTGCCACCCAGCTGCAGGAGGAGAACGAGAGGCTCCAGGCCTCACTGTCTCAGGACCAGCGGAAAGCCACGGCGCAGGCGCAGCGCCAGATTGACACGCTGCGCAGTCGGCTGCAGGAGCAGGCCCGGCTCCTCGCTGCCCAGGAGCAGACGGTAGGTCTGCCCACTGCCCACGGGGGTGGGTTAAGGCCTGGTCCCCATGAGGTGCCTCTGGAATCATGGCGCTGGCCTCCTTAGCGGGGGCTCCTTGAGAAGAAGAGTCCTCAGGAGTGGGATGCACAAAGGTGGGGGGGGGCGCTCCTGCTTCCCGCCAGCTAAGGACAGGCCGGTGGGTCTCAGGAACCACAAGTGGGACCCCTGCTTCCTCAGGGGCAGCATCATTGCTGCATGGCCCACTTCCGGTCAGCAGAGCTGTCTTCTGGTCTTCATCTGACGGACAGCAGGCCGATGGAGTCAGGTGGCTCCCCCAAGGCCACGCAGAGTAGGACATGTGGCCTTGCCTGGAGGGATGGACACTCACCAGTTCTTACCTCAACATTTTCAGACACATAAGCACACGGGCGGAAAAGGCTTCTTCCCCAGGCACCCCTTTCCCTCAGCCCTCCCCTGTGATCCTCCATGAATTTTGCTCCTCCTGGACTCCGCCGCCTCTTGTGCAGACAAGGGTTTCCTTTGTCCTCACTGCCTCCTCCTGAAGCCTCGGGCCCTGGCCTCACCTCCACACAGCTTCCCTGGACCGAGCTGCCCCATCTCTCCCCAGCCTTCTCTTCCTGTTCCAGCAGCCCTTGCTGTTGGGGATCTTCCATTCTCCCCGCCATGCTTTGCCCAGTTAGTTGGCATTTTGGACCCACTCACCTCTGGCTGGAGCCTCACTGCTCTGACCACTCCAGGGACCATCTGCAGGTTTCCTCACAACGGTACCCAGACCTGCTTCAAATTGCTTCATCCAGGAACCCCTTGGCTAAACACAGCGAATTAAGATAATAAGGGTTTATTTTTATTGTCACATCAATCACATCAAGAGGTAACAGATGTTGTCCCATAAATGAGTGCAGTCACTCTATTTGTCTCTCTCCTGATTCTTTTATCTCAGCATGACACCCTCTACATCCTTACATTTATAAGAATGTCAGTAGCTCTTTTTTTTTTTTTTTTGCTTTTTGGGTCACACTGGGCAATGCACAGGGGTTACTCGTAGCTCTGCACTCAGGAATTACTTCTGGAAGTGCTCCAGGGACCACATGGGATGCTGGGAATTGAACCTGGGTTGGCCACATGCAAGGCAAATGCCCTACCTGCTGTGCTATTGCTCCAGCCTCTGTCAGTAACTCTTGATGTCTTATGTGTCCTGTCCTGAATTCTTTGCCCAAACCTGAGTGATCAGTTCTGGCTGTGCTGTGGGTCACGTGGGCTTAGGGGACCACCCTCCTCCAACTGTGTGGGGGAAGAAGAGGTTTGTCCTGGGAAGGGGAACGAGCGGGTATCCTCTAATGTCCACCCTAGGAGGGGCGCCCACCTGCTCTGACCTTTTCCCATCTGTTGTGCCCAAGTCTTGACCACTCTGCTTCTGGGGGGCTCCATTCTGGAGGGGGACACTCTTTGCCCCTCAACTAGACTCTGCCATTCAACCTCAGCTGTTGGGGTCTTAGAGGATGTTCCTTCCCCAGCGGGCAGTGGGGAAATGGTGACTGTTCCCTCTTTCTAGTGCTTGGCAGACCCCTGCCCGGCACAGAATTTCTTTGCTTGATCTGCTCCCTCTGTCTTTGCAGATCCAGACTCTCACCGTCAGGAAGGTGGAGGGTAAGTCTTCCCCAAGGTGCTGTGGAACAGTCCTGGCCATGGGCTCATCTTTCTCTGGTCCTCCCCACCCCAGGACGGGAGGGGTGCACCCACCCACGTGGGATCAGGCTCTTTGCAACAGATGGCCCCAGCCTGGTGTTGACCCCAAAGGCCTTTTCTGCAGTTGCCAGGCACTTGCTAGCCTGCCCTGCCTTTTGGGAGGCCAAGATGGGAGGGTGGTGAGGATATGGGTGGGGATGGCTAGATGGGCTCACGGACTCACCAGGCCTGTGGGATGGGCTTCCCAGGGGCCACTAATCGAACCTTGGTCTCAGTGTGTGGCTTGTATCAGTGCATGTTGGGGGACCAGTGCCCTTGTCAACACGTATTGGGGTACAGGATCTGGTGAGAAAGTCATAGTAGCCTACAGGGCTGAGATCAGCACCTCTGCCTCCTGGTCCTTCCTGCTCTGCTGTCACCTGGTCTCTTCTGTGGGATGCCCCTTTCACCCTTTCTTATAAACCCACGCGTCTTCCCGTCCTTTCTCGTGAGATTTAAGTTTTCTTTCCTTGTCTGGTGAGCAGCCTGGCTGGCTTTGTCCCTGTGACGGCAGCTTTCTGGAGTCGGGGGGTCACTCCTAAGAGCGGGGTGCCATGCACTGCCGGTCAGTGCCGTCGTTACTGGACCTCCCTGAGGCCTGGGCGAGTGTCCCCTTTCCTAAATGGGAGCCTGAAGCTTCCAGAGGTCCCAGGGCTGATGTGTGTGCTTGGCCACTGGGGACAGAGCAGGGGGAGAGGCTCCTCTCCACTCAGAAGCCCATGATTGTGAGCCCCCAAGGGGTTTGCTCACACAGTGCCACTGACTTAGGAGATGGGCTGGGGTTGGGCGTGTGGGATCCTCTGACTGGTCTTCATCTCCCAGGGAGCCACGAAGGCCCGAAGGCTGCGGACACGGAGGAGGAGTCTTCTGAGGAAGGTGGGACCTTGTTTCACCCCAAGCTGTGGGTCAGATGGGCTGACCCATTTTCATGGTGTGGTTTGCTCCTGCTGAACTGTGGGTGGACAGCCTGAGTGTAGGAGCCAGGGGACTGAAATACATAGTTCTTTTTTTAATTAATTTTTTTATTGAATCACCACGAGATACACAGTTACAAAGTTGTTCATGATTGGGTTTTAGTCATACAACACCCATCCCTTCACCAGTGTACATTTCCCACCACCAATGTCCCTAGTTTCCCCTCCGCCCCTCTCCCCCAAGTCTGTTTCTATGGCAGCACTTTTTCCTCTCTTTCTCTCTCTCTCTCTCTCTCCTTTTGGTCATTTTAGTTTGCAATACAGTTACTGTGTCAAGGTTATCATATTTCTCCCTTTACTTACTTTCAGCACTCAGTCCTTATCCAGAGTGATCATTTTCAATCTCTTCATCATAGTGGTCCCTTCTCTATCCTAGCTGCCACCCCCTAACCCCCACCACCACTTGTGGCAAGCTTCCAACCATGAACCATTCCTCCTGGCCCTTGTTTCTACATTCCTTGGTATTAGTTTCCTACTATGATTTTTTTTAACATATCCCACAAATGAATGCAGTTGTTCCATGTCCCTCTCCTTCTGACTCATTTAACTTACCATAATACTCTCCATGTCCATCCATTTATACAAATACATGTTTCTTGAGCACCTGGTAGATACCAAGCATGTTACACACAGTTACTAGCATCCTTCTACTTGTTCTCATGGCAAACGTAGGTTCAGAGAAGGTAGGTAACTTGCCTAGAGTCACAGAGCCAGCCAGTGCTGCTGGAGTCAGGGTTTGGAATGGGGCCTGAGAGGCTGATGGATCTTGTACCTTCCCAGCCCTCTCACACCCACTCATCTGGAGGCATGCAGGTGAGGATGGGCTGAATTGGCTTAAAGTGACTTTGCCTCCCTGTTTTAGTTTGTGTTTTGTTTTGGCCGTGCTCAGCCATGCTCAGGGATTACTCTGGCAGTGCTTGGGGAACTATATGCAGCGCTGAACTCTTGGTTAAGTTTGAGAACCACTGGGAGAGTGACTGGAATGAGAATTCTGCAAGATTCTCAAATAAGGTTCTCCATGGAGAATCTCCAGGAACCATGCCAGCTCCCCACAGGGTTGGAGCACAGCACGCAGGGCTAGGACCTGGATTAATCATGGTCAAAGCGCCTGCCTTGTGGGCACAAGGCTGTAGTTTGATCTCCAGCACTGTCGCTTATGCCAGGTGCAATCGCTGTGGCACTGATTTTTTGTAATTCCCACAAAGGGTATGTGCTCGGTGCATGGGAACCAAGTATGTGCAACTTCCGGTCACCACCACAATGACAGAAAAGGAAGGGAAGGGAAAGGAAAGATAAAGAAATACAGGGGTGCAGAGTGTACAGCACAATACCTAGATGACACGGCTCTTGGGCGTATTTGAAAGTTAAGTGGTAGCTATCGGGGACTCTCATCACAAGGGAAACATCTGTGAGATGGTGGATCTCTAAACACACCGCCGCAGTTATTTTGGAACATTTGTTAGTCAGGTCATTGCACTAAACTCTTTCTACTTTCTCAGTGTCATGCGTCAGGCGTACCTCAGTAAAGCCAGGAGCCACGAGATCAAGTAACTGCTTTTAGGGGGAAGCACAGCTTCAACGCCTTCTGCTCATCTGAGCAGAACAAAGCCCAGGCCATGGGCCATGGAGGTCTATACTGGCTGGTGTGTGTGTGTGTGTGTGTGTGTGTGTGTGGTGTGTTTGGGGTCTGATGAAGTGATGTTCAGGAACAGAAACAGCTGTTTCTGTTCTGAGCTGGCCAGGAGCAAATCTGAGCTGGCCAGGAGCAGAGCAGATTGACGGCTGGAGAGGTATGGTGCTTAGGCTGACGCTGGGGGTGTCCTGTGCTGCAGAGCTGGACTCCCGAGGTGGACAGCAGAAGGTGCTGGCAGCTCTGAGGCAAGATCCCACGTTACTGAAGCAGTTCAGGCCAATCCTGGAGGAGACGCTGGAAGAGAAGCTGGAGAGCATGGGGGTCCAGAGAGTAAGTCGGAACTCCCCACTGCCTAGCCTGGGGTCCTCCTGCCATGCCTCATCCTCCAGGGCCAGCACTACTGGGGAGGAAGCGGATCTGAAGTGTTAGATGACGTCCCCTGACTTATTCCTATTGGGTTGCCTTTGATGTCTGGATCCCACATCCCAGCAGGGTCAGCTCCTCCTGTGACTTCTTCAGAGATGCTAACCCGCCCCCTGACCTCTCTGCTCATTGGTTGCTTTTCTGGATCTCTAAACTTCCCGGCGACTGGAGCGATAGTACAGCGGGTAGGGCTTTTGCCTTGCACATGGCCAATCTGGGTTCAAGTCCTCCGTCCCTCTCCAAGAACCCAGTAGACTACCGAGAGTATCCCACCTGCCCAGCAGAGCCTGGCAAGCTGCTCGTATTTGATATGCCCAAAACAGTAACAACAAGTCTCACAATGGAGACGTTACTGGTGCCCGCTGGAGCAAATCAATGAACAATGGAAGGACAGTGACTGTGACAGTGACAAACTTCTCAGGCAAAGAGAATGTCCTTCACCCGGGCATGCATGGCCACACCCACTCAAGTGCCCAGGCATGCGCAAGGCAGGCCCCAAGTGAAGTTGGCTCTTACAGGGGCACTTGGAATTGGAATACAATGAGCCCTTGTGGGTGTGTCGACAGCACCTGCTGGGTCCCCTGATTCACCAACCACATCTAGTACTACATAAAAACACGGCTGCTTATCCAGTAGCTGGGTGGGTCATTCTTGAAAATGCCCGTTCTGTAGAGCAAGATTGGAAGAACAAAGATGTGATGAGTCCGGAAGAGGGTGTGCCCCAACCTTTGTTCCACTGTTGCTGCTTCTCACCTTGGTTCTGGGTTTAGGTTTGATTTAAACGTTTCCTTCTAACCTCCAGGGAAATCTTCATCCTGGATTCAGATGCCTTCCAAAGCCCTCCCCAGCTCCGGGTGGGTGGCAGACACCTAAGAGGGAGTTGGAAATGTCCTAACATTGGCAGCTCTGAAAAATGGGTCTGGCCTCTGGTAGAGATTGAGGTGCCCAAAGAAGCAGCCGGTGTGTCCCTAGGAGGTGGCTGGGTAGCAGCAAGCCTGTTCCCATTAAGTCCCAGGGGCAGTGCCGTTCCTGGAATTGTATGTGGCCCTTTGTCCCGTTCTGCTCTGAGATCATGCTGGAGGTCCCCAGCCCCCAACATCACGTTCTTAGCAGCCCGTGAGGCACTGCACTGACGCCCATCTCAGCCTCCCATAAGACCTGCTGCTGTCACGTGTCCCCCCAATCAGGTCTGAGAGGCCTAGAGAAAGGGGATCCCTGGGAGCCCACCTCTCCAGAGTGGACCTGGTCTCTCCTAGGCCGCAAAGGGCATCTCCCTTCAAACTCTCCGACACCTGGAGTCCATCCTGCGAGCCCAGCGGGAGCACAAGGCCCGGAGGTTTTCTGAATTTCTGAGTCTGAGGGAAAAGCTCATCAAGGAAGCCAACAGCAGAGTGAAGGGGAGACAGAGGGACGGGGGCTCCCTGCCAGAGGGCGCGCTTGCAGGTAAGCCGAGGACGCCCCTGCCTGTTCAGAGAGCAGCTGGCAGCTCCTGCATTTGCCCGGTTCTGCCTGCCCCGCCCCCGGCTGTGCTTGGCTCTGGCAGCAAGCAGCCCCTCCTGTCTAGGGTCTGTAACCCCGGACCTGTCAGCACTGGGAGGCAGGCCCGGGCCTGGAGCACTGAGGCTGCCGGCAGAGGCAGACCAGAGAGGTTGGAAGAGGCGCGGTGCAGAAGTGGGTGGATGAGGGGGGTTTGGCTGCCTGTGGATAAGTCTTCAGTGGCCCTCTGGGCTCTGTGGGAATGGGGCCATATGAATTTGGGCCTGTCCATCTCCGTGCTCAAGGGTTAAGGAAGAAGGGGAAACCTGACCTCTGGGATAGGAGAAAAGAGATTCCCTCCACCGTTCTAGAGATTCTCAGGTCCATTTGGCAAGGATCGTTGGAAGTTCTGGGGAGGGGGGCTCCAGTGGGCGTGGGGTCACCTCCGCAGGGTGAGGTCTCGGCTCCCGCAGGGTGTCTTCAGTCACAGACATGTGGGGACATGGGGAGGCCCACCCTATGATCTCCAGCAGACAGACCAACCTCAGCGCTTTGAGTCAAGGAATTTTCCAGAGCATGGTCCCCAGGCCTCTGGAGATATGTAAGATGAGTTTGGTTGGTGTTTGAGCTCATAACTTTAAAATTTAATCCTTGGGGCTGGAATGATAGCACAGCGGGTAGGGCGTTTGCCTTGCATGCAGTTGACCTGGGTTCGATTCCCAGCATCTGATATGATCCCCTGAGCACCACCAGGAGTAATTCCTGAGTGTATAGCCAGGAGTAACCCCTGTGCATCGTGGGGTGTGACCCAAAAGGCAAAAATAAATAAATAAAATAAAAATAAAATAAAATTTAATCCTTATTTTTTCTCATGGGCCTGAGAAAATATTAGGAAATAGAATTCAATGGGATGGAACTTTGGAGGTGGGTAGGTGAGGCCCAGACTCAGTGTGACTTGTACTCCTGAAACAGAAGCCTGCGTTCTCACTGGGCACCGTCTGGACTCTCAGGACGTTATAGAGGGTCACAGGGAGAAGTTGTGTCAGTGGGGTGAGGTGGAAGGGGAAGGACATGAGACCAGGGAGCAAAGGGTAGGATGGCAGAGGCCACAGGAGGGAAGCAGCAGTAAAGATGAAGAAGACTGCCCCAGGTCAATGGTAAGTCAGTACCATTCTAACAAAGATAATAAGAGAAAAGAAAGTATTTGGAAAGCAATTCTGTGAGCTCATGGGCATGGTTCACTGGACAGGTACGAAGTAGGTAGTTTATGTTTTAATCTGGTGACTTTGACCTAAGGTGTTAACTAAGGAAATGGGCAGTTGGCATGGGAATGTGGTCAGAATGGCGTCAATAGTTAGGGAACTCTGTCGTGTGTGTGTGTGTGTGTGTGTGTGTGTGTGTGTGTGTGTGTGTGTGTTGGAAGCTGCCAGGGAGGTCAGCAGAGAGACCTCAGGTTTTACACCCCTCCCCCTTCCTCCACTCCCCCCTTCCCACCTCTCCCGTCCCTGCTCTGATGCTGGAAGGTTCCATGATTCATTCATCCACAGATATTTTCTGAGCTGGCTCTGGACCAACTACTCAGATAGGCTGGTGTCTCCACAGCCCAGTCTATCACTGTCACTGTCACTGTCCTGTTGTTCATCAATTTGCGAGAGCGGGCACCAGTAACGTCTCCATTGTGGGACTTGTTGTTACTATTTTTGGCATATCAAATACGTCACAGGGAGCTTGTCAGGCTCTGCCATGCGGGTGGGATATTCTCATTAGCTTGCTGGGCTCTCAGAGAGGGACGGAGGACTTGAACCTGGGTTGCCGTGTGCAAGGCAAATGCCCTACCTGCTGTGCTATCGCTCCAGTCCAGCCTGGGGGCTGAAAGCGAGGCGTGAGCTTATCCCTGCCTCTCTCCCCATCCGGTCTCGGGTCCTGCTTTCTCAGGCTGCACCTGTGCTTTGGCAGCACCCCGACAGCCCCCTTTTCAGCTCTGTGCCCGCACTTCTCTGCCCTGTCCCGTGGTTGCTTGCCTCTCATTTGGGGACAAAACCGTGGCTGTAGGATGTCAGGTTACTCAGATCTGAGGAGATGTGGGTTTGCATCTGCCTCTGATGTGGAATCATGGGTTGTGAAGGTCTCCAAATCTCTTTGACAGAGGGAGAGCGACACTTTTAGTGGGATCTGCCGGGGCGTGTGGATGCCGGCTGCAGTGAGACTGGTTGCCGGGCAGTTACCCAGTGTGTTGGGAATATCACCAGCAAGTTCTCCTGTGGCCCACCCTTCCTCTATCCCCCCCACTCGTGTAGAAGGTCCATTTCAGAGTACATGCAAGAACAACCTACTTTGCAAATGTTCTTGATTGTGACACTGTGGTTCAGCCGCCACAGCGCTGTGGAATTGTGTTTAGATTCAGAGTCATGTCTGATGCCCTCAAACAGGTTCACTCCTGTTTCTCCTGGGGCCGAGTGGGTCCTCCTGTGGTGCTGTTGCTCTGTGGCCCAAGTGGTCCTGCGGTGCCCTCTGGTGGCAGAACAACCTTCCTGCCTGTGTGTGGCTGCAGAGCTGGAGAGGGGATGATAATGGGGAGGTCAGATGAGGTGACCTGGAGAGGGGTGACCCTGGGGTTAGAGGAGGGGTCCCGGGGCGGGGGTGGTCCCGGGGCTGGGGGGATCCCGGAGGGGCTGGTCCTGATGCCTAGGAGAGGACAGGGGTTCGGGCCTCTGAGACCACAGGGGGTCCCAAGCACCGGGGCCTCCCCATCGCCTCGGCTCCGGTGGGGGCCTCGGGGTGAGCTCAGAACCCTGGTCCCGTCTGTGTTTCCAGTCAGAAGCCCCAAGAGAGAGGCCCAGCCCAAGGCCAGGACACTGCACGTGGCGCCGCTGTCCCACCCGGCGGAGCCCCCCGGGACAACTCTTCTGCGACGTGGCAGCCATGGCCCTGGCCTGACCCCCACGTCACCCCCTTCTACACGACCCAGAGCGCGGGGGCCCTCCAGCCCCCCAGCTTCCCCAGGGCCTGGGCTGAGGTGAGTTCTGGTCTCCCGGTGGCAGCAGTGTCGAGGGGCTGGGGAGAGGGTGGGCGGGCTGGGCCCCTCTCCTCACAGCCGCTCTGCTCCCCATGGCCTGGTCACTCGGGGCCAGAGGGTGCTGGTGGCTGTGGGGACACTTGCCAACTTCCCCAGCCTGGCATTTCATGCTTGCTCTGATCCCAAACTCCATCGCTTCTCCTGGGGGACAGCACACCCCCGTTCAGTTCTGAAGATGACTCGGAGAGAGGGCGGGGGGCCCCTCCACAACCCCCACGAGGCCCTTCCAGGATGGGGCTCCGGCAGGAGGATGACTGGGACTGGTCTGACAGCGACACCTCGGAGGGCCCGGCCCTAGGCTCAGGTGAGTGACCCGAACTCTGGGGGTGAATGACCCAGGCTCTGATGGGCTCCCTCAGGGGAGTGACCCAGACTCTGGGGGTGAATGACCCAGGCTCTGATGGGCTCCCTTAAGGGAGTGAACTGGGCTTTGAGGGGCTTATTCGGGCTTTGGGAGGCTTCCTCAGGTAAGTGATGGGGCTGAGGGCAGTTTCCTCAGGGGCGTGACCTGGGCTGTGGTGGGCTTCCTCAGGTAGTGACCTAGGCCCTGGGAGGGGGCTTCTTTAGGTGGGTGACAGGCTGGTGGATGGGGGGGCTTTCTCAAATGAGTAATGGGGCCACACCCAGTGCTCACAGGGCTTTCCTGCTTCTGTGTTCTGGGGTCACTCCTGGCTGTGCTTGGAGAATCATATATGGTGCTGGGGATCAAACCTGGGTCAGCTGTGTGTAGGCAATAGCTGTTGTGTGATCTGTGTACAGGTCACCTTGCCTCTGTCCTACCTCTCTGGTCCTGTTTTATTTTTCCTTTTTATAGACCCTATGGGTGAGATTGTATAGTCTCTCTTTATCTCTCTCTGTCTCTCTGTCTCTCTCTCTTTCTCCTCTTTTGGGCCACACCTGGATGTGCTCAGGGTTTATTCCTGGCTCAGCCCTCAGGGGTCACTCCTGGTAGTGCTTGGGGGACCATATGGAATGCCAGGGATGGAACCCTGGTAGGCTGCATACAAGGTAAATGCTCTACCTGCTCTACTATCATTCTGTTCCCATCATCCTGTCTTTATGCTGAATTATTTCACTTAGCATGACCCCTTCCAGTTCTATCCATGTTCTAGCTGAAAGCAAGATTTTATCATTTCTTAAATTGAGTAGTACACACACATACACACACACACACACACCACACACATATCTCCATCTTCTTTATTCACCACTGCTGTAGGATGCTTGGTTGTTTACAGATCTTGGCTATTATAGATAGTGCCATGATGACCTTAGGTATCCATGTATCTTTTTCAACTAGTATTTTTGTGTTCTTGCAAGAGGTACCTACAAGTGGAGTTGTTGGATCATATGGAAATTCTATTTTCATTTTTTGAGAGATCTCCATTAAGTTTTCCATAGTGGCTGAACTAAGTGATGGTCCTGCCCACAGTGGATGTTTCCTTTTTCTTCACATGCCCTGAGTTGGCTGTTTCTGGCCTCTGGCCCGGCCGTTTTCACTGTGTCAGGTGTTGTCTCATCCTCGTTTTGATTTGCACATGTCCTAGGCCTGCTCTGGTTCCCTCGCTCCTCATCTTTGTGGTGGTCTTTCCTGCTTCCCCAGACCCTCCTTCATACACTGTCTACCTCACAGGAGCCTGGATACCCCCATAGGCCCTCACACCTGTTCTCTGGGCTTTTGTCACCCACACAGACTCTTTGTTCCAGGAACCCTGGTGCAGTCGATGGTGAGAAACCTTGAGAAGCAGCTGGAAGGTTCGGTGAAGAAGCCTGCTGGAGGGGTTAATCTGTTCTTGATGCCCAGAGCGGGACCCCAGAAAGCTGCTGCTCCAGGAAGAAAGACTCAGGTAAGGTGCAGGATGCGTGGGGGTGGGGAGGCTGCCTCTCCCCACAGAGGTAGTCCAGAGTTGTGGGGTGCTGGAGGGCTGGGGGCTACAGAGGGACCATTGAGGGTCAGCCTTGGCCTTAGAGGACTTTTCCAGTGACCTCCCACGTCCTCTGCTCCTGTGTGGCTGGAAAGCCCCTTTTGGACGCTGGTTGTTTGTGTCATGAGGATGTTGGACAGCTTTTGTTCACTGTATCTGCACCCCCTCAGTGGGCTGCTTTGCTCTGCTACCTCCTGGCCATTGTCCCGCCTCTGGTAGAGCCCGGGGCTGATGTGTAATAAATTATCTCCTTATCTCAGAGTGGACCACATTCTTTCAGTCTCCCAAGACCCCCGCAGCATGCAGAGCAGACATCTCCCCAAGGATGGGCTCTTGGGGTCACATCACACACCCTTAGGCTCCATCATACACAGCATCCCATGAACTGCTCAGAGGCCTTTGTTGGAAATGATCTAGGTCTTCCTCTCTGCTATCCATGACTCAGACGCTCTGCCTCAGGGCATCAGACTTAGAGCCCAGAGGCCCTCCTCATGCCCCCCTCCCTGAATCCTGGTCAGGAAACAGCGCCTCTAGCCCCTTCTCATTCTTTTCTCACCCTTTCCATCAAAAAGGTGCATTCTGGGATGGCCTGTACTTTTATACACTTTGATTTTTTTTCTTTGGTGGGGTAGGGCTGTGTGTTGTTTTTTAGGCATATCCAGCAGTGCTCAGGGCTTACTCCTGGCCCTGTGCTCAGGAATCTCTTCTGGCGGGCTGTGGGGACCATATGGGGTGCTGAGAATTGAACCCAGGTTGGCTATGAGAAGGCAAGCATCCTACTCTCTGTACTATCACTGCAACCCCCATATTTTGGTGCTTGATAACTTTCTCTGTCATCTTTCTTTTGTTGTATAAGTACTTGGCTTATCACACAACTCGTGTGTTTGTAATGAGTCCAAATAATATTTCAAAAGTCACTGTCACTATCCTCCCATTGTCCATCGATTTGCTCAAGCGGGCCCAGTAACATTGTGAGACTTGTTACTACATTTGGCATATCGAATACATCACGGGTAGCTTGCCAGGCTCTGCTGTGTGGGCGAGATACTCTCGGTAGCTTGCCGGGCTCTCCAAGAAGGGCGGAAGAATGGAAGGCAGAGGAATCAAACTTGAGTCGGCCCAGTTGGCCGCGTGCAAGGCAAACCCCTACCTGTGGTGCTATTGCTCCAGCCCTTTTTAAAAGTATCTCTCCCTTTTCTCATACTGCAAATGGGCATGAACAGCGCTGCCGCTGGGCGACCTCTGATTGGCTTTCTCCTGCACGAGAGAACACAATTAAATTGGTGTGTTTATATCAAAGCCTAGGTGGCCTGGGCCTCGAGCCAGTGGGGCAGGAGACCTCTGAGGGACAGGGGGCAGATGGGGTCAGACATTGTCTGGGTTCTAGGTTGATGGAACCTTTCCAGTCCAGATGATTCCAGAGACTCTAGAAATTTCCAGGTGCTGGCCGTAGTGTTTCAACCTGAGAGGCAGTTGGGCTGTCAGGAGTGTGGAGAGGAGAAGCTCTGGGCTTCCTGCTCCATCCGGCCAGGGCAGGACACACACATCGAAGTGACACAGGAGCAACCCGGTCTGTGTGAGCGCCTGCCTGGCCTTGGCCGGTGGCATTGCTGGGGTGTTTTAAATCACCAACCCTAGATCTCCGCCATGGTCTGGTGCACTGGGTCCCCCTGCTGCTTTCTCCAAGCTGTGTTTTGTCCCTATGTCTACCCTGCGTCAGCTGTGTTTTCTTCTCTTTCCTTCCCTGCAGCTGTCTGATGAGGAGAGTGACTTGGAGATCTCGTCCTTGGAAGAGCTCCTGCAGGACCAGAGGGAGAAACCGAAACCCTTGGCCCGCTCCCAGTTTCCGGGGAAGTTTGGTGCCAGTGCTTGGAGCACCAGCTGACCCCGGGTCCTGGAGCCTCGTGGCCGGCTGGGACCCACCTGCTCAGGACTCCACCCAGCTGTCGAAGATGCTGGGCTTCCTGTCTCAGGAGCCGAGAGAAGAGAGAAGTGAAGTGAAGGACAGAGAGGATTTCTCCTGTGCCGGCTGTGAGGGGTGGCGCGGATGTAATGGCTTAGAAAGGGTAGGAACAGGACTTCCACGCAATTGTCTTCCTCTACCTCCACAGTCACAGCAAACCGGCCATTGCCACTTGTCTCTCTTCTTATTTAGTACCCTGTGGTATTCCAGCGATGCCTTCTTTGGGGTCTTTGGGGACATATGCCTTACCACTCAACGGTTATCCACAGTTGTTTACTGAGCATTGCCATGAGCCAGGCAGAGGTGGGCAGGCAGGGCCAGATGTCTGTGCACGACCGTGGGGGGCTGGAAGGGGTCGCCCAGTATGCCTTGAGGGGAGCGAGGCATCCTAGAGTTGTGATGTCCGGCAGGCCCTGCACAAGAAGGGGAAGGAAGCACTTGGCTGTGGCTTCGGGTCTCCATGGGACAGTGATCGTTATTTTAGATATTATTTTCCAAATTAGGTTATATATAAACTCTGTGATTTAAAAAAATCTGAAAGGCATTAGTTTTACTATATGTGAACATTTAAATATAGTAGAATGGTTATGACTCTGGTGTTCAGTGTTTGGTCTTTGGAGACTGGTGTGTGTGTGAGTGCATGTGTGCCTGAGTGTATGTATGCACGGGTGTGCACATATGTGCATGTGCATGTGTGTGGGGAATGTGTGTGTGTGTGTGTGTGTGTGTGGAGTATATGTGAATTTGGAGTTTGTGTGTGTGGAGTGTATGTGGAATGTGTGTGTATATGGAGTGTGTGTGTAATGTGTGTGTGGGAGTGTATGTGAGTTTGGAGTTTGTGTAGTGTGTGTGGGGTGTGTGTGTTTGTGTCTGTGTGTAATGTATGTGTGTGTCTGTGTGTAATGTATGTGTGTGGGAGTATATGTGAGTTTGGAGTTTGTGGAGTGTGCACGGAGTGTGTTTGTGTGCGTGGAGTGTATGTGTGTGGGAGTGTATGTGAGTTTGGAGTTTGTGTGTGGGGTGTTTGTGTGTGTATGTGTGTGTGTGTGTGTGTGAGAGAGAGAGACGTGTCAGAACTGAACCTCAATTGTATTAGTCAGATCCTTTATTTATTATTTATTTATTTTTAATGAGATACTTTTTATGACATCTTATTATCTCATTCCTACTTTGGACAAACTTGCAGGCTATCGAATGTAGCCTGCCCACAGGGCAGAGTCTGGCAAACTCCCCGTGGCGTACCCAATATGCCAAATACCAGTAACAATGATGGGTCTCATTCTCCTAAAGAGCCTTGAATATAATCTCAGGGCTAGGATGAAAGAGACGTTACTGGGGCCTGCTCGAGGCAATCGACGATTAACAGGATGATGAATGATGAATGAATGAATGAAATGAGATACAGTTACAGACTTACAATCTTTCATGATTACGTTTCAGTCATACAACGCTCAAGTACCCATCCCCCACAAGTGCCCATTCTCCACCACCAATGTTCCCAGTATCCCTCCCACCACATCCACCACATCTCTCCCCTCCCCACCCCTGTGGCAGGCACATTCCCTTTTACTCTCTCTCTCTCTCTCTCTTTGGGTGTTATGGTTTGCAATACAGGTATTAAGTGACTATCACATTTGGTCTATAGTCTACTTTCAGCATGCATCTCCTATCCTGAGTGAGCCCTCCAAGCATCCTTTGCTTGGCGGTCCCTTCTCTCTCTCAGCTGTCAGGTTTTTTTTGACCTTTGGGTGGTCCTGACACTGGGTGAGGACCTGAGATTCTGGTAGGAGAGCTGGGGAACGCAAGAGGAAAGGCACTGCAGAATGCCCAGAAGGTTTGGGGGTGAGGAGGGCTGGGGAGGGGGGCATCAGCAAAAAGCCAGAGCATAGCTCAAAAAGGCTTTAGATGGGAATTGGGGTGTGTGGTGTTCATTCCTGTATAAGCCACAACTTGGGCAATAGAGAATGTATATGATGGGTGGGCTCAGTGACTGGGAAAGGAGAACTGTGATGGGGGGGTGCAGAGGGGGATGGGTGTTCACCTCCAACTCAGAAATCTCTCAGTGAGTCATACTTTCCTGTTCCCTGGGGTGAGCAGGAAGGGTCTGAGAGATGCTGGGGTGCCCAGACATGCCTGGTTTTGGTATCATACGTCCCCGGTTGTCTCATGGAAGGAGGGTGGAGAAGTGGGCACCAGGAGGTGGTGGGTAAGATACCTTGCAGGTTTCTCCAAGGGCAGAGAGTGCCAAAGGGATCAGAGTAGCCCATAAAGTGAAAGAAAGGAGTTGCAGATGTCATTCGAGATGTGGTGACTACCAGAGCGGGGCGTGCACACTGCTTACCTTTGTAGAGTTGGTTTTACAGGACTTCTCCCCAAACTGTCCCTGCTTGGGGCTTTCTCTGCAAATAAGAATCTGTGGCTAGGGCATTGTCATAAGGGGAAGAGATCTTGAAGTTTGGAGATCTTGTATTCTTTTTCCCTCCTCCACCACTGTACATTTCCTACCACCAATGTCCCCAGTTACCCTCCCTTCCCTCTTGTCACCCTCCCCCCAGACTGTCTCTGTGGCAGGCACTTTCCTTCTCTCTTTCTCTGTCTCTATCTCTCTGTCTCTGTCTCTCTGTCTCCATCTCTCTGTCTCCGTCTCTTCTCTCTCTCTCTCTCTCTCTCTCTCTCTCTCTCTCTCCCTCTTTCCTTTTGGGCATTATGGTTTGCGATACAGATACTGAGCGATAACCATGTTTGTTCCTTTCCCTATTTCCTTATCGTGTTCTTAACACAGCCTCTGTTTCTCCCAAAGCCCCTCCTTTTCTGAGTGAGTTCACTCTTCTCTGGGTGGTGCCTCAGTTTCTCCATCTCTAAATGAGGTGTGGCTTTCCTGCCCGTGGGCTACTTTAGGATCGGTGATAAGGCAGCTTCTCTAGTATCCCCCAAGAAACTCATTCCCAGGATCCCCCTCCTGCCTCCTGCTTCACTTTCTCCCACCACCCTCCTTTCCCCTGACAGCGAGAGCAGTCCTGGCTCAGCTGCCCACCCCACACTCCAGCTTGTTCCCAGCTCCAGGCTGGACTCGGAAACTGTTGAAAGGGTCAGTCTACACTCAGGGCAGCCCGAAAACCTGGGTAGCCCTCCTCCAAGGTGGGTGGCTGTCGGGGATTATTGCTGCCACCTCCCCTGCTCTGGGGAAATGATCTCCAACCTTCATCTGGGATACACGGATGGAGTGGCACTCACTTCCCATAGCAGTAAGAACTCGTCATTGAGCCTTTAGGGGTCTTTCTCCCTATTTTCCTCACTCTTGCTTCTGCATTATAGGAGCACCTCTAAAATGAATTAATCAAATCCTTGCCCCAGGCTCTGCTTTTCAGAGGGAACTTAAGTAAAATGCAGTAATCTCTCCTTATCCACAGAGGATTCTTCCAAGACCTCCCCGGGGGTTGCTAAAACCTCAGGACAGTACTGAACTTGAGAGAGGCTACATTTTCCCTGCTTATGTTTTTTTATGCTAAGTATTGATAAACGATCAATAAATTTATGCTAAGTTTATAAATGAGGCACAGTAGGAGATTAGCAATGACAAATAATGAAAAGAACAATCACAATATACTGTACTGCGGCTCCGTGAAAAGTTAACCAAACAAAAGTTACCCTCTCTTTCTTCATATCTTACTGGATGCAGTACTTTTCGATGCAGTTGACCTTGGGTAACTGAAACCGTGCAAAGTGAAACTGATTGAGTGGGTGGATGTGGATGTGTATACACCTCATTACCCCACTAAATTACCAATGACAATGACTGTTCTTGAATATTCATTAGGTCACATATTTTCAAATGTGCTTTTGTGTCTATTTTGGAAACTTGGAATGACATTTTACTTTTGCATTCCTATGTTGTGACTTTCCACTTTCAAATATATAAGATAGTTTTTTTGACAAGATTTATAAGAACATGGAAACATATTTATATTTTTCAGGGTCCTCCAGATAAAACAGAACCAATAGGATCTCTCTCTCTGTCTCTCTCTCTCTCTTCCCTCCCTTTTAATTTTTTTAATTTTAATTTTTTAAAATTTCTTATTTTATAAAGTAGTTGACAATGGGCTGGAGCGATAGCACAGCCAGTAGGACATTTGCCTTGCATGCAGCTGGTCTGGTCAACCTGAGTTCGATTCCTCCGCCCCTCTCAGAGAGCCCGGCAAGCTACCGAGAGGCTCTCGCCCACACGGCAAAGCTTGGCAAGCTCCCCGTGATGTATTCGATATGCCAAACACAGTAACAAGTCTCACAATGTTACTGGGCCAGGTCGAGGAAATCGGTGAACAATGGGAGGACAGTGACAGTGACAGTTCACAATATTCACAATGTATTTTGTATTGTTTGTTATGAAAAAGCTCTGAAAATGGTACAAAAAAGTATACTTAGAGGAAAGAGTGTGAAGATTGGTGTATTTTACCCAGGGACCATTAAGCCCTCCATAAGAAAACACTAACATGTTGTTAAAGGTTGACCCTTGTGTGCTTTTTATATATGTATCTGTAAAAAATGTATATTTTCCCTCTAAGATTAGTTGCCTCCTACTTTGAACACTGTCTATTTTGGTGCTTTAATCTCGGAGTATGGGTAGGGTGTGGTGTGTGGTGTGAAGTATCTTGCGGGCGTGAATGCAGCTGCACTGTCCAGGAATAGATTAACTCGTGAGTGATGCTCTGCCCTAGCCTGTGGAGAGTGGCTGTGAGCATGGCATTGGCTGGGTTCTGGAGGTTGTCGGCTGCTGGGGCTGGGTCCCTTGGGGCGGGGAGGGGGTCTCACTCGGCCTGCTCCGGGGCACCCCGAGTAAAACAGCCTGGACTGGTTATGGCGAGTATCATGTTATGTTCCCTTCTGGGAGAGAAGGACATGCAATCTGGATGGTTGCTGATGAC